TTGTCACCACTTGTTTTGTTGAACTTTTGGTGTAGTTTTTAAATATGTATGTTTTATTTTTTATTTCTATACCAATATTTAAATAAAATAGATTGAAAAAACTTGGGATTTTTCTTCGTTTTGCGAACCGGGAAGATCATTATAGGACGGAGGGAGTATAACTTTTAGATTAAGTTATTTGTATACCAAAATTTGTACCCCAAAGGTAGGCTCTGACATTTTGTACTAGTCTAATGTTAGTGTGATGATTTACATTGAAAAAAATGTTAGCGCAATTGTTTTAATTGAACTAATATTATATTTTCTGCTTATGTGAATCGTTTAAATGTCGTCATTTATTTGGGGTACAACTTGAGTGTACCACTTACAAGCATGCTTGATAACTTTTGGGACTTTTTACCACAATATATATTGAGTTTAGATATCCAAACACCCAAATCTCAAAGGCTCAAATATAGAGCGAGCTGAGTATATATTTTAGCAGTAGAGAATTTAAGTACCTTAGATTAATATTTTCTTCCAAATAACATAAGAATAATAATGGTCGTGTCATCTTCAGAAGAGATGAGCTTCGTTCTGATCCCTCTAATGGCCCCCGGCCACACCATTCCCATGGTGGACATGGCCAAGCTCTTCGCTCTCCGCCGCGTCAACACCATCATACTCCTCACCTCCCAAAACGCCGCCCGGTTCAAACCGGCGATAGACCGCGTGGCCCGATCCGGCCTCCCCATCCGCATCCGCCAGCTCCGGTTCCCGGCAGCCGAGGCCGGGCTGCCGGAGGGTTGCGAGAGCTATGATCTCCTGCCGTCTTACTCCTTAACCGGAAACTTCTCGGCCGCCATCAACCTGCTCCACGAACAGGCCGAAAAGATTCTCCGAGAGATTACCCCCACACCCGACTGTATCATCTCCGACAAACACATCCCTTGGACCGCCGACATCGCCGACAAACTCGGCGTTCCGAGGATTTTGTTCGACGGCATGAGCTGCTTCACTCAGGTGTGTCTTCATAACTTGTACGGTCTCATGGCTCGCCAGGGGATCCCGGAGACGGCGCCGTTTGAGATTCCCGACATGCCGGATAAGATCCAAGTCACCAAATCTCAGCTTCCTGGAGATTTCAATCCAAGTACGGTTCCTATATGTTTGTCCAATCTCATTTTTGCACACCATCCGATGCACTTCTTTAATCCATTTTATCTTGTAATTTGTATATTAAAAAATTATATATTAATAATCTATATGTTAAGACGAATCAAACAAGATCACACATGACTATTTTTAGGCTTACACATTGAGAGAATTTGATGAGTCAAAATGTTTAGATGAACAGTTCCAAAAGTCAAAAGTGGACAAATACTCAGGGACGGACCAAGTATTTAAAAATCGATTAAAGTTAACAATTTTACTCCCTCACACATTAAATATTTGTCACGTTTATATAATCCAAGACAAAATATCAAGTTTTTTTAATTCATTTTATTTACATATTGATATTGAAATAAAAATAAAATTTATATATATATCAAAAAACTACATGAAAAGTTCTTCGAAATAAGAGGTGTCAAGAATATTTTATTTTATCAAATAACCAATGAAAACGTAGAAATAAACAAAAGTTCCCGCGACTGCTGAAAAAGCAAACGTTGCAAATAGCTTGGGACGGAGGGAGTATTTTATACTCTTTCTTCTCATTCAATTTTTTTTAGTTAAAATTTGTAAACTTTGACTTCTATATACAGAAAATATATATTTCCTCCATCCTAAAATTAACTTCACACTTGTCTTTTAACGATCTTCAATGCAATACTTTACTATTAATATCTCTTTTTTTTATATAAATATATATTGTAAAAATAATATATTTCAAAATTATGTTTTAGAATGAATATATTAATACAAAATTTATATGAAGATTTAATGTATTTTATTTGTAATATGCGATCAAAGTTTAAAAAATTTGACTGCAAAAATCAAACCGAAAAATTAATTTTAGGACGAAGGAAGTATTGTATTTTGAATTAAATTAATTGTAATATCATTAGATTTCTTTTGTAATATATTTTTGAAATATTAAATTTTTATAACATATACTCCGTATCTATGTATAAGTATTATTAATGGTCATAATTTAACATTGGAAATCGTGGAAAATAAGGAAAATAGACTAAACTATGAGTAAAATATGAAAAAGTATAAAAATATGAGCTTCATATTTTTTGTCACAAAATATGAGTTTTAATGTCAATATTGGCAATATATAATACTAAAAAATATATTGAAATTTTCCTATACAATGCCTTGATGTCACAATACAAAGTATAATTTTCGAGATACGCACATGAAAGTCTTATTTTGATAGAAGAATTTATTAAATAACACTAAAACATAATGATTTTTTCTAAATAGTATCACATGAGTTTATTTTCCAATGTAACATTTTTAGTCATTATCGTTAGTCATTATTCAAATAAATGTTCACCATCACTGGATATTATTCCTCCTTCTAAACATTATAAAGTGTTATTTAGTAAATAAAAAAGTTTAAGTGCTACATTGGGAATTTACTTATGTTTTAGTGCTATTTAGTGTAAAATCAAATAAAAAGGTTACATGGAGATGTTGAAGTCTTTTTGTGTGATTTCTTTTACATTAAACACACCAGGTTCGATAGATCACACGAAAGAATTACGAGAATTACGAGAATTAATAAGAGTGACTGAGGGTAGGGCCCACGGGTATGTCATAAACAGTTTTGAGGAGCTGGAAAAAACGTACGTTGACCAGTTTCGACAACTTAAAGGCGGCAAAGTTTGGTGCCTTGGGCCCATGTCGTTGTGCAACAAGGACGTCGAAGACATGGCAGAGAGATGTGGCAGCGCGGTGGCTCCGGCCGGCGGAGAAGATGGTCTAGAATGGCTCGAGTCTTGGCCGGCCAAGACTGTGGTTTACGCCTGCCTTGGCAGCCTGGCTCGAGCTGCTCTTGGACAGTTCATTGAACTTGCTTTGGGTCTTGAGGCATCTAATTGTCCATTCATTTTGGTAGTCAAAGCAGGTGAGGGAGAAGCACAGGTATATATCAACCAAATGAAATTCACAAAATTTTCTCTTTTATACTCCCTCCGTTTTATAAAACCCTTCCTCTTTCTTTTTTTTTGTTTTTCTTAAAACACTTCCCCTTTCTATTAAAAAACCACTTTTACCCCTACTTTTTGATACCCTATCTATCACATCATACTTTTTCACTAACAACTAAACTATCACATCTTACTTTTACCCATCACATCAAGGGCAAAATTGGAAAGTCAACTACAATTTAACACTTCCTTATTTTTCTCCAAAGTCAAAAGAGGAACTCTTTTGAGAAACGGAGGTAGTAACTTTTACAATACTCCCTCTAAAAAATTGTAATCATTAGTTTAATTTTTAATTGAATTGGTTTCTCGATGTATTGGGTACTTTAACACTGTGTTTTGTTCAAGCAATTTGAAAGGGAAAAGAAAAGAAAAGAAGTGGAAAACCATTTTTTTTGTTTGGTTATATTGGAAAAGAAAGGAAAATTGGAAGGAAAAGAAAATGAGGAGGCAAAATGTACCAAGTGGAGAAAAAACCAAATTCCTTCCATTTTGGTGAGAAAAATGAAAGAAAATCATTTTTTTCTTTTCTTTCCAAATTCTTTGAACCAAACATAGTGTAAATATTGCACATGAAATTTTAATTCTTTGAATTTGAAAGTTTCGAATCGGTGACTTCTTAATCAACAACGATAACAAAATTTTTGATACCATATCAAGTGAACCACTTCAATCAAAAGTTTAAACTTGTGACTATAATTAGAAATTGAATGATTTTATACCTCTAAACGGTTACAAAATGGCATATTCCTATTTTCGGACACCAACATTACCATCATTTTTCTTTAATTTCCTACCAATCAATATTGTGAACAATATTTAACAGGTAGAGGCATGGATATCTGAGAACGGATATGAGGAGAGAGTGAAAGAGAGGGCACTGTTGATCCGGGGATGGGTCCCACAACTACAGATCCTGGCCCACCCTTCAATCGGAGCATTTCTAACGCATTGTGGATGGAACTCGACCCTGGAAGGCATAGTCGCCGGCGTGCCGATGATAACGTGGCCGCTGTTCGCCGAGCAGTTCCTGAACGAAAAGTTTGTGGTGGAAGTGCTAAAAACGGCGGTGAGCGTTGGGGCGAAGTCGGTGGTGCACTTGGGCGAGGAAGACGGATCGTCGCCGGAGGAGAGAGTCAGCCGGGAGAGCGTGAGGAGCGCCGTTCAGAGGGTGATGATGATAGGTCAGGGGCAAAATGGGAATGCAATGAGAGATAGAGCTATGAAATTGAAAGAAGTGGCGGTGCAGGCAGTTGGGGTTGGGGGATCTTCTCACCTCAATCTCTCACTCTTCATTGAAGATATCACAAGTATTATGAAGATTTGTTGAATGCTTTAATTTGTAAAATATGTGATTTTAAAAAAATCATAATTTATAATTTATCTACTTTGTATTTTTTAAATGTACTTCTATCTCTACATTAAAAAGATTTTAAATTATCCAATCCCGCTCATTCTTTTTCAAAATGTTTTACTTTTCATTTTTTCTCTGCACCATTTTCAAGAGCAATTTTTTTAATTTTTGTGTCAGGCAAAACGTAAAACATTTATTCAAAATGCATGAATAATATCTTGTCTTAGGTGGTTTGGACATGTAGGAGAAGACCAATAGAAAATCTTGTAAAAATAGTTGATCATGTTGTGAATAGACATGTGACTAGAGGAAGAGGTAAATCATGTAGCCGCAAATATGGGCCTTGCGTGAATGATCTCGCGGCATATGTGATACTTGGATGGACACAATAACGTCATTTGATCCATGTAGCCGACCTCACATTATGGTATGAGACTTTGTTCTGTTGTCGTTGTTATTAAATCAGCAAGATCTTATAGGATGCTTATTTAGATTTTATTTGCAATGGGGATATTAATTAGTTCACATACATTATTGGATTGAGAAAGTATGAACAAATTGGATTGAGCTTAGAGAGTACAAACTACCAATTACTATCTCCATTCTTGAGCATTTATTTAGTTTTTATTTTTTACAAATACAATTAATACATTTTGATGTTAATTAAATAAAATTTGTCATACATTCATTTCATAAAATAATCTACCTTTGATATTTCATTCTTCTCATCAAATACTTTTACTTTTCATTGAAAATTACGTAGTACATTTTATTCATACTTATTCTTAATCTATTTATCAAAATCAAATATTAATAAATTACAAAAGAAAAATTAAGGCTAGACAAATATGGAATGAAAGTAATTCTCCATACGTCTCTTAAAATTCTTCTTATTTTGACTTTTAGGAGAATTAAGAGAGAGATATTTTGACTTTCCAAAAAGACTCTTGATGGTTTAAAGTAGAATATGATGGATATATTATTAGTAAAAAACTATAATGTGGTAGACTAAGTAAGAATTACTAGAGATAAAAGTAAGCTTTTAATATAAATGAAAAAAACTTTCCAAAACAAAGAAAAAAAGGAAAAAAAAATAATGGGATGAAGAGAATATAACATACTTCGAACATACTCAAAAAAACACTATCAACTTGACAACTTACGAGTTGATGGGTACGGTGTTTATTTGTGTCAAAGGCCCAAGTAAAATACGGACTCCGTAATTGGTCAAGTGCGGGCCGGGTATATTTTTAGCACAAGTCTCAACTCGGCCCAAATACTAAGGCAGAGAATATATATATAAACATTTTAAAAGTCTATCCAATGACAATGTTTAATTTTAATTTTTTTAAATAAATAATCTGAACCATTAAGAGATTATTCTAAATAGTAAATACTTACGTGATTTAAAAAGAAATTCCCACACACTCGTAATTAAAAACGCATACTTTAGTACCAAAGAATATATTTTGAGATTTGAGAGTAAGTTGGCATTCACACCAACAAGCCTAAGCACAACAGATAAGGAAGAATTAATACTCTCTCCATTTGCAATTAATTGATCATGAAGGTTTCGTTTAGTACACGGAATTCAAACTATAAAATTAGAATTGGAGACAATATTTCTAATTCTGCTGTTTGGTAGCACAAAAATATGTGAATTTAGAATTGGTAGTGCCTAAAATGAATTGGATTTAGATAATTCAATTCTATCCAAATCAATTCCATAGAATTTTAACTTCCAATTCAGTTTCAAATTCGTCAATTTCATGTACCTAACAAACCTTAAGGGTCCGTTTGGTACACGGAATTGACGGAATTGGAATTGAAGTGGAAGTTAAAATTCTATCGCGTTCATTTGGATGAAATTGATTTCTCCAATTTCAATTCATTTTTGGCACTATAAATTCCAAATCTACATAATTTTGTACTACCAAACACCAGAATTGGAATTATTGCCCACAATTCTAATTCCATATAAATTGCGTGTACCAAACGGACCCTAAGCGTTTTGAGATATGCAAAAAAATTGAATACATATGGGCATAATATATACTTCGTATGTCAACATATATTTACCGTACTTTTTGATGTATCTCAAAAATTATAATGATTAGTTAATTATCGTGAGTGAATGAATGAACACATGAAAAGCAGTTATTGTGAAAATTGAACACAGAATGTTTTACACGTCGAAGGGAGCATTGCAAACGAGAGAAATAGTGTAAATCATATCCTTTTAGCATTCTTTTGCTCCATCGGTACCTAAATCCTTTCTTTATTCTTTTAAATTTTGAGCAATTGCCATTTTTGTAGGGGTTGCCGAAAACCTCATGCATTGCGTTTTTACTCTCTTTTTTCGTGTTTTTACCTTTTAGCCTTCTTGTGTCTTTTGTTTTTTTCTTAGGAATAAAACATAAAAAATATATTAAAATAAGAATTTCATATTTTTATTTCTAAAATCGAAGTTAAAATATATATACAATATCAATCATGTCAATTTATAATACCAAAAAGTATTGTAGAATATCCATATACAGTGTCACATTATGACAATACAAACTTTTTTTCGAGAATAAAAACATGGATCTCTTATTTTTATACTTTCTTTATGTTTTAGTCCTATTTAAAGTATTTCTTATTTTATCTATGTTTGGAAAAGTTAGTTTATTTATAAAATTTTAATAGTATAGATTAATTTTTGAAAATACTAAAAATAATTGTTAGATAACCTTTTCAAAATGTTAGCACTAAATTTTAATTAAGAGTGTTGTCAAACGGAGCCTGCATCACTCCAGCAGACCATGTACAAACTCGTGATTGGCCAAAATTTTAACTGGTGTCTCAAGTAGAAATTTCACGATTAGTAATTTTAACAATTACAAGATGTCGATTCAAGACCTGTCATAGAGCAATACCATGAGTTGTTGAAGATCCTTCACTACGACAATCATCGTTCTCCCATTTACACCTTCACCTTGTTTAATTGTGTTCTAGCGGTTTGTTCTCCATGATCTCAAGCATCGGAGTGCTAAAGATGCGCACAACCTTCAACGCTGTGAGAAGGAAGTGCATCTTCTTTTGCTAGCATTGAAAATTTTGTCCTTCCAACTTGTCAAGTTTTGCAAATTTGCTCGTGAAATCTCTAACAGATTCGCCACCCGTCATCTTCATGATCTTAGAGAATAAATATTAAAATATTTCACATCAGAAATTGATAAAAAAAATTAATCAGTGTTTAAGCACTTGAGTTGAATTAAGTAATTAATTATATTTAATCTTTTAATGTGGTTCAACTTAGAATATTATGACACATTTCAATGATCCCTACCCCAATTCTAAGTTTTATCATGGACTAGTCCAATAATATTCCCTATTGGAGTGCGTTTTATTTAGCCCACCTTGTCCATCAAGGTGTCCTAGTGAAATGTATACTATTGGAAGTAATAGATGTATTAGGTCCGGTGGTTCGGATTTTCATGCAACCACAAGAAAGTGATGAACCATCCAAACCATGTAGAAGAAAACGAGCTCTGAACAGAGATAGAATCAGTATTCTTCTATATTTTTCATATTTCTTTTAATTATTACTTTACACATTTATATTAAATATTATGAAACTAATACGTAGGTGGGCACGACCGTTTAGATGCAGATTATTTTTTCAAAAACGTGACCTACACCGACAAATAATTCACACTGAGATTTTGCATGAGTCATCGTATTTTTCTCTGCATTGTGAGTGATTTGACAATGCAGCTCCTTTTTTTATGTTGCAACATGATGGCAGACAAAAGGTTGTGTTTTCAACCTAGCAAAAGTGCACGGCAACGCCGGGACAATTGGCATACGACAACAGTGTAGGATCATTAAACGAGTATCTATGCATGTCTGATAAAACAGTACGGCAATGCGTATACAAGTATTGCAAATGGTTTATCAGATTATACAAGAAACAATACTTGTGCACGCCCACAAAGAAAGATGTGCAAGTGCTATACATCGTCGCCCATGAAGCTCGACATGGATTTTCCAGCATGTTAGGCAGTAATGATTATATGCACTAGGTATGATGTAGTTGTCCCAATGCATGGCATGGTTAATATACGAGCGGTGGTCACTCGGACCCCACAATGATGTTTGAGGTCGTACCCTCTAATCATCTGTGAATTTGGCATGCGTCTTTTGGGGTGGTCAGTTCAAAAAACGAACGTTCATGGACAGTCTGATATATCCAACAAAATTATACAAGGTACCAAGCCTCTATTCGTCCTTTTTATTGTAAAAATGTTTATACAATTATTAAGAAATTTCATACCGAGTACTCCGTAATACTCATTCCATCTTAGAATGCTTTATTCTTCTCTGTTTCAAAATCATTGGATATTTTGTATTTTTGTGAGTCATTGATTATTTGATTAAGTAAAATACTTTTGTCAACACTTTTTTTGTATGAAAACTTTTACGGAGTATTTTTTATTTATATATATACTAATTTTTTAATAAAATAAATTAGAAAAACTTAAAATTTTTACTTCATTTTACGTAAAGTGTAACTAAATTACAAAAAATAATAATATTCTCTCCGCCCCAAATTTGATTACAAATTGGGAGTTACATAAAAAAAACCTCACCATTTTTGAAACCATTTTATTTACAAATTAGTGCATCAATAATAAAAAAATCATACATTAAAAAACTACTCATAAAATTCTAAAAAATAAGAGGTGACACAATTATTTTATTTAATCAAATAATCAATGAATATAGACAAAATCTATCGAGAGATGAACAAAAGATATTGTAATCAAAATTGGGACGGAAGGTAATGTAGTATACGTGAGGTCTTCTAGAAGAGGAGAAAGTAGACCGTAGACGTGACCCCAACTACCAGAGGTAATTATCAGCAAGTGGGTTCTTTGGTGTACTTGCCAGTAGCCAGGGAGAGTCCTAGGGGACATTATCAAACCAGCGAGTCAGGGACTGCTCCTACAATATTTGCTTATTTCGATTTTTTTTTTTAAAAAAATTAAATTGGATAATTCTTCCAAAAACAATTCATCATCACTTGAATAAAATAATACTCACTTCATCACAATTTGAATCAATTGTTGTCGTTTATAAAGTTTGACTAAAATTATTTTCAATTCAGTTAAAAATTGGTATAGATTTTAAAAATAAAATTTACATGTTTAAAAAACTACATCAAAAGATCTACAAGATAAGAAGCTAGAGTTTGTGAATAGCAAAGAGATAATTTATATTGAGGCGGAAGAAGTATCAGCTATTGACAGAAAATGATTTTATTAGATTTATCTTACTAAAAATCATGAACAATTTATTTTATTACTACATACATCAATATACAATACAAATCTAATGTAATTAATGATTAAAGAAATTACCCTAAATGAGAATAAAATATAGATAATGTATCAAAATAGGAGTTCCAACTGTAATAATGTGGCATTGTACATTTGTACATGATGCACATGGTCATGATTGGTAATGTAAATGTACTTCAACTCTTATTTCAGAAATAAAAACATGAAAATTCCATTTTGATATACTTTCAGTATGTTACTTCTACTTTAGTCTTTTTTCTTAATGATTTAATTTCATTCAATTTGATTCCATAAAGCCAAACTAAAATATTTTCATCACTTTAGGAGAAATAAATTGTTATAAAACGGTAAAATAACTACGATGTCTCTGTAACTTAGAAAATAGACACCAATGACTCATCTATGACCACAACTCCAGGGTGCAAATTTCAGACAATGTGAATTTCTCCAAAAGATTAAACCACCCAAATTGTTGTTTTGACTTGTTCTTATGTCACTTTTTGGAAAGTTCTAAATGAGTAAATGCTGTACTGCACTCTCTATCACCAAATAAACCAACCGCAGCTGCTTGCCTATATATTAAGCAACCAAACCACCCAATATATATATTATTACTCCATTTCTTCGGTCAAAGGCCTAAATTAAAGCTGTTATTATCATAATCATCAAAAGGGTACCTACTTCGATATGGAAAATCTTCACTTCGTCTTGATACCCCTAATGTCCCAAAGCCATATTATCCCCTTGACAGGCTTTGCAAAGCTACTTGCCAAACGCGGCGTTACCGTCTCCATCATCACCACCCCTTCCAACGCCAAAAACTACAACTCCTCCGTCATCGCCGCCACGCCGGACCTCAGAATCCAGCTCATCACCGTCCGTTTCCCGGGCCAAGAGGTCGGCCTCCCCCAAGGCTGCGAGAATATGGACGCCCTCCCTTCCCTTGACCTCTTCTACGAGTTCTTCCGAGCCTCCGACTTGCTCCGGCGGCCCCTCGAGGCGATCGTCTCCGAGCTCCGGCCTAAACCGAGCTGCATCGTCAGCACCAACGCTCTCCCTTGGACTCAAGATGTCGCCGACAAGTTCGACATCCCTCGGTACATCTTCTCGACCGTCTCTTGCTTCAGCTGCGTCTGCTCGCATATCATGGACGACGTAAGAGCCGTCCGTGATGATGCCGAACAAATGGACGCCAACTCAGCAATACCAAAAGAGCTCTCAAAAGATGAAACGAGGATGACGACCACCTTCGTCGTCCCTCGTGTCCCGGACCACATAGAGTTTGGGAAGGATCAGCTCGTGGGGACCACGATGAAACGCTCATCCGACAAGCTTTCTATCATTTTAAGAAAGATCAAAGAGTCCCAAGATTTGGCTCGTGGGAGTTTGATCAATACGTTTGAGGAGTTGGAGCCGTGGTACGTGAGCGAGTACAAGAAACTCATCAAGACGAATGCTTGGTGCGTCGGTCCGGTCTCTCTGCGCAACAAAGATGAAGGCAGAAATGGCCAAGACCGGTCCGAGTGTTTGGATTGGCTTGATTCCATGAAGCAAGGGTCAATCGTATACGCTTGCTTCGGTAGTCTCTGCCAACTCTCCTTATCCCAGTTGATGGAAATAGGTTTGGGATTAGAGGCGTCGGGATCGCACTTCGTTTGGGTGATCCGGGGCCTCAACCTGTCATCAGAAGTCGAGAAATGGCTCGAAGACGAAGGGTTTGAGGAGAGGGTGAGGGGAAAGGGGTTGGTTGTTCGGGGTTGGGCCCCGCAAGTTGAAATACTATCGCATCCGTCCATCGGGGGGTTCTTGACACACTGCGGGTGGAACTCGACGCTCGAAGGGGTGTGCGCTGGGGTGCCAATGGTGACATTCCCGATGTTCGCGGAGCAATTCTCCAACGAGAAACTCATCACGGACGTCTTGAAGATCGGTGAGAAGATCGGGGTCGAAGAGAGCATGAGCTCATGGGATGAAGAGAAGAATGGGGTGTTGGTGAGGAGGGAACAAGTGAAGAACGCCATTGATCGTTTAATGGGCGGAGACAGAGGAGGGGATGAGAAGAGGAAAAGAGCACAAGAATTCGCAAAGATGGCTAAGGATGCAGGGGAAGAAGGAGGGTCTTCTTTCTTGAATGTGTCTTTATTCATCCAAGACGTAATGTTAATGCAGCAGGGTCAAGAGATATAAGAAACATGTTTACTTGTACAAGTTCATGATATAATAAGTGAATTTCACCAAAATTAGCATTAGTAAAAATGATAAAAAGTGCTTCCTTTGTTTCATTATTTGAACAGTTTGACTTTTCGATTAAATTGGACCAACTTTGATCATCAATAAAGTAAAATTTGTAATGCATATTAATACAAAAATGATTTTATTAAACTTATATTGCGAATACCTTTCATTTTTTCTCATTGTACTAATTGCAATGCAGTTTTATTTAATTGATGATCAAAATGTTTGGGGAGTGAGAAAGTATTTGGCAAGACACATTTTATAAAACTTTTTCTTATTAGCATTCAATGTATCTTTTAAATTGATCAATAGTTAGAATTTATAAAATGTGCCTCCAAAATAATGGAAAGGGAGAAGATGGGAAAGGATAAATGTGCATACCTGAATGTCGTCGAACAAGTCCTTGGGAAGGAGAACCTTCGCCTGCAACTCGGTCCTGTTAACCAAATCGATACTGTGTGTCCGAACCCTGTCCCTGTGAGTATTTAGCCTTAGAAGAGATGTTTGGTTAAAATAACATTTTCACCTCAAAAGAGCTTGTTTGAAGTACACTAAAATTATTTCACCAATAAATTGGCCAATTCCAAAGGATTCTACTTGACCCAAACATATATACACTGTCAAGTGTCAGCATTTGAATGATATCCTAAGTTACATGGAATTTATGAATCAAACCAAAAACCTTAAAAAGCCAAAACTTATCTTTTTCTTCTAGTGTGCCAAGCACCAATTTAGACACCTCGGCATTGACTAGGGCTCATGGTTTTTGTAATTCTTGGCTTGTGTTGAGAGGTCATAGTCAAGTGATAGCCTCTTTGCCCAAGGGCTATGATTAGGCGACCAAGATATTGGAAATCCAAGCATGGCACACCATCTTAATATGAGCATCGCAACCAAATGGTCGTCTCTTCTACTAGATTCTTTCTCAAAGAGAGGCTCGATTACCTTCCTTTCATAATCTTCCACTTCCTCATCATTGAGAATCAGGTGTTCATATTCTGCACGTAGTTCCTTCAAAGTGCTTTCTTCTAAAGATATCATCCTCATACACAAAACTTGTAATGCTTCCATGGCGGTCTTGTAAAATCCATGGTCTACATATGCAAGGAATATGTTACGGCAAATAGATGAGTTGGGCTGAACTCTGTATCGGTGCATCTGCTCCACAACTATCTCAATCACATCTATTCGTCCCTGAAAATCAGTGCACTTTTTAGTGATGTTGAGGATAGCCAAGAATATTGGTTACATTCATAATTAAGGAAACATTAACAAGGTAGTGCAACATAACTTTTGTATGGTTCATTTTCTTGGGTATTGCAAGATTATGTTGGCCATATTTTAAAAAACCATCCCGAGTATGTCCTTTCAAATTTGGAAACATAGTTAATACCACATATTGTCTATGTTCATACTTAGGTATTGCGTCCGTGGTTTCTTTGTTTGTACTTTTGTATCTAAGTTGGGGGTCTCTTGGAAACAGCCTCTCTAGTAGTAGGGTAAAGTCTGCATACACACATCCTCTTCATAATTTTGTGGGATTCTACTCGGGTTGTTGTTGTTGTTAATACCACAAGCCGGGAACCAAACAAGTGAACAACTAAAGGCAATCTCATATTCTCAAGTCTTTTATTCCTTGTCTCCCATTAGGTAATCTCACAATCCGCAAACCAAAAGTTAACCAGTGGTTTTCTTTAGCCAGACATACTTTGGCCATCATTTCAATGCAAATTAAATATGATCCCAAGATTCTAATTAGCAAAGGGTACAATACACTTAACAGCATTACCTTCTCGGATGCCTTTTGAACAATCCTATTATAAAGCAATGCATCTGGCTGGATCCCCTCTGATATTGCCTTCTTGAGTAGTTTAAATGCCTCACCAAATTCTTCTGATACAACCAGAATCTGACCCACACAGAAACAGGTTGTACAAGTTGTCAATACAAATAGATGACCTTGCATACAAAAGAATCAACTGTAATTTTTTTAGGCAGTGTGTTGGAAATATCCTTACTTTTATAAAGCTTGTATAAATATATATCTGTGGAATGAAACCATCTCGGATCATCATGGAAACCAGGGCAGATGCAGATTTGAAGTCATTCATTATAGTGCAGCAATCAACCATTATTGTGTAAGTTGCAGCATCACACGGGATCCCACATGATATCATTCCTTTGAATATGGCAAAAGCAATACTAATCTGACATTAAAGAGGTAATGGTGTCATTGTTAGTTCAGCTTGTGTGTGTGTGTGTGCAAGCATGTGAATACGACTAACAAAGAGTGAAAGGGAGTGCATACTTCTTTTGCCCTGACAAGAAAATGCAAGACTGTGTTATAGTGACAAGTTTCAAGACAAGTTTGATAGTGAGGAAATTGGTTCTCTGCAGCATGCAAGTATTGAATCATCTCTTTTAAAAGCCCCACTGCCCCAAGTGCTTTCAACTGCAGATGAGACAAAAATATCCAATTTACCATAAGAACATAAAATTGAAGTCCTCTACTCACAGTATTATTATTATTAATATTATTATTATTATTATTATTATTAATTTATTATTATTATTATTATTATTATTATTATTATTATAATGAAGTAATCAAAGAATCTTACTGAGGTGTTTAGAGGGGGATAAGTTGGCATGCCCAATCATGGACGAAACATAACCACATATATACACATAGGTTTTTGTTGATTACTAAGATTTCATTTGGTAATGCTTTTGGTTTCTCTTTCTATTTTCACTTTTAGGGTAAAAAACAGAAGTTAAAGTGAAATATATTGAAAAAACAAATATCTTGTTTTATTAAAAAAATTATTCTGTGAAATCCCATGAATAGTTAGTATACATTTTCATTATAGGTAACATAAATCACATATACAATATTTTTTGCAAAACATGATTATAAAGCACGTTTTTGAAGAAAACAAAAATACATGTATTATTGTTGGTTCAAAAACATGCCCTACAAAATCCCACAAGTGGGGTCTAGGGAGGGTAAGGTGTATGCAGAGCTTAGCCCTAAATAGAATGTCTAATTGTTGGTTCAAGAAGAATAATATTGCTCACCAAATTCATCATAGACAGCTGGCTGTGATGGATACCATTCTTCATCATATCCATGTCTATAGCATGTATCCTTTTGGAAACATCATTTTGAAACATTAAACCATCCTCTGTGTAAGGTGTATCCCCACATCCAAACTGCGAGAATAATAACTCGTATGTCCTGATATCTGGTTGTATATTCAATTTTTTCATCTTAGCCAACGTTTGGATAGCTCTTTCAGGTAGATCCTGCAAAAGTCAATTGAATGCAAGCAACAACACAAAATTGTCACATTCTAGCTCAAGTTCCCACCTTACAAATACAGGATAACGTGGGCAAAAAAGGATAGCCCAGTTCTCAAAAACCACAGCCTAAGGAAAACTATCTTTGATAAACCAGCGTCGAAATTGAATGACTGTATTTTTCTACAAAGAAAATTGAGCAACAGTTTCAGCATTTTAACTCTGCAGTGTCACTGCTAATGTGATTTCATGCAGGATTCATTTTCTATCAGAATTTTGATCTGCATGAAAATGACATGAATGTTTAGTTTGGGTTGGCTCACCAGGAAATTACATGCTTCTAGCAAGGCATTAAAAGGATAGGGACCTTCAAAACTAGATACTTGATCAAGAAAATGTTCGGCTAAATCCAGCTCCGAAATTCTACTACAGCTAACTGATAAACACACTAGAGTCGAATCATAAGGTTTCAAGTTTTTCTTCCCCATTAGTTTCAGCTGCATGAAAACAACAATAAATCATTACACAATCATCAAGTGGAACAATCATTATTGTTTTTTTGTTAGAGAACCCGACATAGAAGATATGTAGATGTAACTGATAGAGAGTTGAAGGAGAAGCACAATATCAACTCAGCAGTGGACTAGCATATCGTACCACTTCAGTGGCATCATGGACACCTCTTACAGAAAGAACTGCCATTGTGAAAGCATTATATGCTTGTCTTGATGGTTTCAACCCAAGATTTTGCATCTGACCAAAATGAGTAAGCTCAGTTATTACATGTCTGCCAAGGCAACAGACAGACTATATGTGATCACTGAAGCTACAGCTGTACAGGCATACTATATTTTTGGACTGATTCTGAAGATAAGGGAAGTTGTAACACAAACATGACTTGTAATTTTAACAGAGTATTGATACCTGATTTAGTAATTTTTCTGCAAGAATGTCATTTTGCATGACTGCACAAGCCTGTATGACATCACTGAAAGACCACCGCAACAACTTCATGGCAGCAATTTGCTTTTGTATTTTTACTGTACTTTTTGAAATGTCAGATCCCTGTTTCTTTATGGTGTCAACATTAGAGCATTGCTCACTGTGACTTCTATTTCTTGTGGCACTTCTTAGAAGACTTGCATCACCTTGGCACAGTGCTGGAATATCCAATCTCAAGCTACGCATCTTTCCATCGGCAGTTTGACAAACAATAAAATCTTCCAGGGAGGCCGCATCTACCATTTGTTGCAGAATCGAGTGTGCAGATTCCAGATCCCTTAACTTCGAAAAGGACCATATAAACTTTCTTAGACAAAGGATGCTGGGATTGTAGTGCTTAGTACACTCTCTCCAAATCTCATGAACCACAGAGAGGTTTTGCTGCAAAACTGCAAGCTGAAAAACAGAACATTAGATTGTAATTACAAATAAACATTGATCCATCCTAAAAAGGAGTCATATTCCAAAATTGATCCATCCGAAAAAGGAGTCATGCTCAAAACCTTTTCTCAAAAAAAAAAAAAAAAGAATTAGGTTTTAGAAGTCAAGTTTAAGTTTTACGTAAAATTCCTGCAAAGCCAAGCGACATGCAGTTTTAGTAAATTACTCCAAATGACCTTGGAAATAAATTGATTTATAAGTGACCATTCAGAATCTGTCAAAAAATTTACCTCGATTGTGTTGACTAATAAAAAAGTTGTATCATGTTCATATAATCAAATGTGATTCTCTTTTTAGGATGGAGGGACTAATTAAACGAAACTTGTGTATAAGGCGATAAGCAAGATTTAAGATACCCTAGTAACCCAGTCTATGAACAAGTGTGAGGCACAAACAACAACAACAATAACAACAACCCAGTTAAATCCCACAAGAGTAGGGTCTCGGGAGGGTGTGTGTACGCAGACCTTGCCCCTACTCGAAAGTAGAGAGGCTGTTTCCAAAGAGACCCCCGGCTCAACGTCGAAAGTTGCATTGCTTGACTAACTGCTACTTCATTAATTAAAGAAGCGCAGACAGTTTAGAGATCCATTTTGATTTATTCCATCACACCCCAAAGCCAAAAAATGGTGAAATTTTGGCTCCATCGGAGATGATGGAACGTGTGAGGCACAAATCATAACTATAAAAAAACTGGCTAGCACTAAGACACTAATGCATCAAATCAAGTGCACGAAAAAAGAAATGATACATGAGCCCCCACTGAGTTAGGTTTAAATGATTAGTCCAGTCATTTCCCTTGCATCAAATTTCAATTGGGAAAAGAATTTCCCTTATTTCCCATTCAACTGTGTTAATGCCTTGGAGGATAATGGGAGAAAAGTGAGCTGAGAAGTCATTAGAGAATTCGTTGAACAATGTTCAACTAGTGAAACGAAATGAGTTGAACTATGTGAAACGAATCTCTGTTCTCTGTTCGGTCATTCGGGAAGTCCCTCCGAGGACGACTCCCGAAATGCATCTGAATCGAAGTGTAGGAAATCCAGTTCCAGCATCATCCTAAGGCTTTGTCTCCCCCGGGGTTTTACGAGCGTTGGCGGGTTCCGCTGTTCCCATTTCCTCGCTGACCCATCATGCAAAAGGTACGCCTACCCGTCAGGGTCAGGGGGGAACTCAATTCCACCCAACTCTGATACCGCTATATTCGTGGCCGGAGCAGCCGTATCGCGCATAAAGGGCCTGGCCTCGCATCTTGTCCCAATTCAGGAATCAGCGGTGGGGCCGCCTCGTTTCACATAGTTCAACTCATTTTGTTCTGGAACTCCAAAGAAAATAACAACAATTAGGGTTGTTCTAGTTTAGGTCCGGACTGAAAAAACCGACCGAACCGGACTGTTAGGTCCGGACTGAACCCGGACCAAATAGATTTAGGGTCGGTCTTCGGTCTTCATTATTTGAGTTTTCGGGTTTCAGTCTGGTCCCGTCCAAATCCGATATTATTCTGGTCTGGACCGAATGGACCGACTACTTATGTCAGTTACTCCGTATGTGTTATCCGCTTGGGCCTGACTGTTGAGGCCTATCAAACTAATCCAAGTATCCAACTCACCCTCAGCCATTCATTTGTCATCCCTTCAGACAGAATATGGAGGATCCATTCTCCTCTTCTGTTTCTTCTTCAACGCGAGAGAGCATGAAGTTGGAAGGGGAAGAGCTCCTCTTTGATGCGAACAGGCCCACGGAGCGAGAGAAAGGAGAGTTCGAAGATAATGGAGATAGTGCCGGCACAAAGTCTTGAACCCTAGCCCTTGGATCTTGTTTCTGGGAGTATATTTCAGTGCCAAAACTGAAAATCTTGTGTGTAATGGTATTTAGTTGGTATAATCTTCAAATCTTAATTAGTATTCAAATTCTTCTTTAATTTGTTCTTGCTGGATACTTGTTACTCCGTATTTGTTAGAATTTCAATCAGTATTAATGTTTTAGCTTTGAACATCAATGTGAATGTGTTATGTGTGTTCAAGATCTATACGGTCAAATTGTTTTGTGGAGCTCATTTGATTGCTATTTTTTATGAAGTTGAAAAAACATCTCTTCCAACTTCTAGAACATTGTATTCTTCTCCTCTTCCCCCTACGTTTCTGCTCTGTCTATTTTTTTCTTCGCACAGTTGCTTCTTTGGTCTTTTCGGTCCAGATCGGTTCGGTCCAAGCTATTTTGGTCCAGTTCGGTCTAAAACCGATTATTAATAGGTCCAGTCTTCGATCAAAGTTTATTCTTATTTCGGTCTTCGGTTCGGTCCAGTTCTGGACCGATGAACAGCCCTAACAAGTAACAGCAATTATATTAATAATAACGATGAAGATATTGCTCCATTATCACATGGAAAATTATGATAAAAACATATGAGAGTGATTTGCCTCCAAATACAACAACAAATTTAAGTAAAGACAATGAGTAACCGCCCCAATGAGAAATCTAAGCTATTAGATTGTGAAAATATTTCATCTTAGATATATCAATCTATGGACAATATACATAAACAACACAACTCTTCACATACCTTGAGAAGCTGATAATATGTTATTTCATCCTTTCCCACCATATTTTTATCCATCAAATCCAAGCATTGATTGACATAAGGTCTACTGTGCATTTGAACACAGGCTCCCAAAAAAATGTTGTAGATCGGCAGAAAATAGTAAGTATCAGGGTTATCCCTCACGATATTCAACAAATTGAATGCCTGAAAGCATAAATCCAGAAAAGGTAGTCTTTACAAAAAAAGTCATATAAATAATGAGATATGATTAAGAATATATGCATCAAAGCCATCAAACCAAATCCCTAAAAATATAAATACATGGAAAAATAAAAGTTTTACAAACAGTCACATACAACACCAAAGCTACATGATTGCAAACATTCCTAGCATAAATTATGAGGATGGGATTACAAAGTACTAACATTGATAGTTTGATACCTCATTCAAGTAACCACCCCTGGAGAGTGCCTGCACAGCAAACATATAGCATTCCCTGCTGATTTCAATTTCCTTTTCCTCCATAAGCTTCCATGTCTCCATAAAAAACTGCAAGCCAGAGAAAGCATCTTTATTCTTCCAACATCATCAACAAACAAAAGTATTACAACTATGAACTTAATTCTGAAAATGGTTCCTAGAACAACCGTGAAACACCTTGCTTTGCATCAACATAACTAGGCTTGAAATGGATGCAAACTATAACTAAACAATTTGTAATTCTTATAAAAAAAATGCTATGCATCTCAACTTGCACAGTTAGTAACAAAAGCAGTGTTTGCTTGTGGCATTTTGCGCATTCCATTTAAATCTTTAATGAAACAACACCACACATACCCAAGTCTTGCAAACCACCAGTAATGCTCAAATATTCAATCTATGGGCATAGAATTAATCATGCAGTATAGTAAAAATAAAAAGGATATCCAAACACCTCATAAGCTAATGAAAAAGGTGGATTCTAGTAGTTCAATTCACTTTCATCCTCACCAGCGGATCAGGAAGCCTTGCACAACGTTGAAGTATATAGAGAAAATCATTAGCATTTAAGGTGCTTCTTCCACAGCCAAGTTCTAAGAGGAGGCTAGATGCTCTACTTCTTTCCCCTAAAAAAAGTGCATCAACAATTTTTTCCTGCAAGGATCTCGAACGTGGTTTCTTGTCACATCCTAAAAAATCAAAGAAAACAGTACCACCGCAATGAAATACTTCTGTTTATTTGGACAACACCAGCAAATAAATGCTTTAATCATTTCTACTATACTAGCTCGAGCTTCTTCAACTAATTCTGTTGCAAGTTACAAATACTACAAGTCAATTAACTAAATGAGTTGTAGTGTAAAGGGCAAAGAGACCGGTGCTTCACCTTTACTACGAACAATCTTCTGCCCCTATAAAACAGAGATCTTTGCATTTAGAAATAGTGTATTATAGATTTATAGTCCTCTACAATGTAGAAAAATATGGAAACAGGAATTGGAGAAAGCTTACATTTTCAATTTTTTTAAAACTCAAAGAGCTGCATGATGTTAAACTCGAGCGGGTTGTCCCTCTGTTGAAATAAGGAAAAAGCCTTAGAGAGCGAACTAATTCTTCTTTGTGTGTGTGTGCAGGAGGAGACTTTGGTGTGTTGTGTGTGTGAGCACCTTACATTCATATGCATAAAGAATAGCAAGTATAATAATCATACTCACAGAAATTTGTGCATTTCTTTTCTACTGTTGATTGAGTAGAAAATCCTTGGCTCAGGCACAAGCTACCTTTATCATGAGGATGTCGCTGTATGAAACCACAAGTTGAATTTCTTGTTCTTTCCTCAAAAAATGCTTAGAAGGGAAGAATAAAAACTAAATAAACAAACAGAATGGAAGTTTGATTCTAAGAAAGGTGTCTGGTGGTAGAAATACATTCTTGTTTTATGGTGCATCTGCTTGCGGTTTTTCTTCCCTCTTTCTGAAACTAAAACAGACGAACTGCAGTTGAAACTATGAATGTTGTTGTGGCTATTAATATTATTGTTTTTTTGGTGTTGTTACTAAAATGTCTTTAACAATTTATTTTGACTTATAACGATTTTGTATTCACAATATATTTCAAGTTAGTGGCATTGTTTATTTCTGATAAATATTGTTTTACAATGCTTTATAGTGATTAATCTCACCCCTAGCAACAAAATCCTAGATATGCCACTGGTGGAAAGTTCCACATAACTCAATACATGGAAGTGGAGAACTACTCAATCTGTTGAATATGTGTACTACAGTTGTAGCATGAGGTGGTGAAAGAGCAAACCCGTGGCTGTTTTTGGACCATTGTCTCCATTGGATTCAAGCAATATTGAAGCCAAGATGATGCTCTTAAGGTATGTTATGAAAATATTTTACTGCTATATTTCTCATACCTTCTTCTTTCAAGATGATTGACAAAATGGCTAAACGAACTCAAGGCAAAGCAACAAAAATTACTCCCTCCGTCCAAAAATTATCTTCCCGTTGCGTGTTACAATGTTTGAGAGAATTCATTTTCAAATCATTTTATATGAAAAATGGTGTGAAATTAAAAAACAAAAATTGCATATTAAAAAACTAAATCAAAAGATCTACAAAACTAGATGTGACATGACTACATTATTTTATCAAATGGGTAACGAAAATAGGCCAACAAAGTGAATAAAGTTTGACCTGTGAATAGTGAACGGGAAGATAAATTTTTGACGGAGGGAGCATATTATTCAATGTGTTTCACTAGTCTATTTCAGCTGAGTTGCTTGACTAATCGACATTAAAAGTACTCTCTATTTCCAAAGAACAATGCGATTTCTAACCCAGTCTTTAAAAAATGCTAGTGGTGTAGCCGGATGCACATAGAAATCTCTGTATCTCCTATGTTAAGCTAATGAAAATATAATAATGCTACTTTAACCCCCAAGTGTTGAAATCACTAGAGACAATCCCGCGCAAACAGTAATTGTATGTAAGAACCATACAAAAAAATATATGAAGAACTAGAAGAAGCAATTCGATTTATAAAGATCGAAAATGAGGGTTCTATCCCCCCCCCAAGAATTGAGAAAATTAGATTTTAATAAAATAGTTTCTTTAGCTTCCGAAGTATTATAAAAATCTGTAATGAATTTGCAGCCTGACTTAAACTTTTCATTCATACTTCCCAACATTTTTTTCCATCAACAATTCAACGCTACTATATTCATCCTTCCACATGCACCCTCATTAACTCCACATCACCATTACTCTAAATTTCTTAATTGTCATAAAACAAATAAATTCTTTGTTTAAAAAAAATAAATTAAATACGGAGTAAATCATAAAAATTGGATGGTGCAATTTTAAAAAATATTAAAATTAACCCGTTGGAAAAGAAAATGTATGTGCACCAGGTGGAAATGTCTCTGGGGGAATGGGTCGAACACTTGGTGGGCAGCGTTTGCAAGCTTAGAGGTCCCTTGGATGACAAAGGACCCTCACAATTTGAGGGAACGTACTGGTACATTTCTTCAAACAGATGGAGTGCGTTTCCTTCCTGTGCAAACCTACGAACTAACTGGAGACGGGGGGTTGCCTGGGACTTCAAACAACACTTCAGGAATGTTCAGAGTAGCATAACGAAGCTTGAAAAGAGCAAAGAATGCAACAAAACCGCCGCAATTTTATAGCGTCATTTTTGAATGAAATGAGGGAGAAGATAAGGTAATGAATAAATATTTCCGGCTTGATAACAGGCTGGAAGCTGGATGGCAAAAATCAGCAACTGGATCAATATATTAAATAAACAAATAAATGAATAACTGGGTTCAGTGAGCGATGCCCGTTGCCGGACGCCGGGAGGCAGAGAAGAGGGAGGGAGAGATATACCTGTACTGGACTGCTGGTGCAGGGAGAAGAAGACGCACGAAGGAGGAAGGTGAAACGAAAAATTAATTTCATTAGAATTACTAATCTGTTTTGAAAATTTTTTTTAGATGTTTTTTTAGAAGTTTACACTATCATTGTTAAATTGCTACACACAACATATTGTCACATTGTAATTGCCACCGTCACACTGTCATTCATCATTGTCTGCCACCGTCACACTATTTATCATCACTCACGGTTGATTGATCACACTGATATATTATAGTGTTATCAATTTTTCATCACATTGTCAACGTGTACTCTTACTTTACATTTTCATTATACTCTCTTTTTTTTTTGAACAAACCACAAACTTCATTCAATAACCCAAAAACCAGGTTTACATCGCACAAAGCTTTAATTCAAACCAAGTCAGAGCAAACTCTACTTTCAATAGAGTTGTTCAAAAATATCCGATCCGAAATATCCGTCTACGATCCGGGCCGATCCGATCCGAGAAATGGATATCCGATCTGATATTTTAGCTTTCGGATATTTCGGATCGGATACTCGAAAAAAATCGGATCGGATATGGATTCAATTTCTGGAATTTTTCGGATAATCGGATATCCGATTTTTTTTTGCTATATGTTTTTAGAATTTTATGGATATATATTATGACTATATATTTAAATGTAATTTTATGTTGATTTTGGAACTCAACCATTTTGAACTTTTTACATTAGCATTTTAGAATCTTTTGTTTTAATAGGTCCCATTTGGTACATGAAATTCAAACTATGAAATTGGAATTGGGGATTTCAATTCCAATTCTGGTGTTTGGTAGCACAAAAAATATGTGGATTTGGAATTGATAGTGCAAAAAATGAATTGGAATTGACAAAATTCAATTCTTTAGAATTGAATCTCATGAAATTTCAATTACAATTCAATTCCAATTCCACCAATTCCTTATACCAAACGGACCTATAGTGTTTTTTTGTTTGTTTAGGCAAAATTACCAAAGTTACTTCCAAATTAAATTTGGTATCATTTTTTTATTAGGCCATTACCTAGTTGTGGAATTTTTCTTTTTAGTAAATATATATTAAATTTGATATTTTGGATTGATTTTGCTATTTTACCTTTTTTTTTTGTAAATTTTGGCTAAAAACTCAACTTTTCGGACAATCCAGTGATCCGATCCGAAAAATTGGATATTCGAATTTCGGATATCCGAATATTTTCGAATCGGATATGAAATGAGTTTTACGTTATCCGAAATTTTCGGATATCCGAATTTTCGGATCGGATCGGATCGATCCGATTGAACACCCCTAACTATCAAGTACTTGTTTTCTTCTTCTTCCCCCTCTTTGCCCAATACGCTGCACCCAATTCAGCATTTCCTACATCTGTGGTCTCCTCTTTGAGTGGAACAAACTATTCATTATATTATAGTCTATGCTTTTATTTTAGTCTTAAAAAACTTAAAACTTCTATTTTGGTATTCTCATAATATTTTACTCCTATCTAGAGAGATTTTTTTTGAATAAATTTAACTTATATTTTAATCCTATTTTTATATAAATTGAATTAATTGTGACATGACTATTTTATTTTATGAAATGCCTATCAAAAAAAGAAATAAAGTAAATGGCATTTGACCCTGTAAATAGTAACCTGGCAATTTCATTTGGGCCATAGGGAGTACTATTCAGTTACATTTTGTTCAACTTGTTTTTTTGCTTATTACTTGTTCTTGTTAAAGTCAAATCAGAATCAGATTAATTTCATTCATATAAGATTAATTAAGAAAATATTGAAAAATAACGTTAATATTTTGTCTATGATTAAATTATACTTCGTAAATACTATTCTCCTGTCCCAAATTAAATTCCTTATTTACTATTCACAAAGTCAAACTTTATTCAGCTTTTTTTCTCATTTTCATTAGTCATTTGATAAAACAATATAGTCATGTTATCAATAATTTTGTAAATTTTTTTATGTTTTTAAATATGTAGTACAAGTAATTTTTATTTTTTTAATTCTATGCCCTTTTCCATATAATGATTTGAAAATAACTTTAAATAAATATCGTAAACCAAAACAAGCAATTTAAATTGGACAGAGGGAGTATCTGATTTAAACATGTTACATTATTTAATGTTTTGTATAATTAAGTAATAACAAATATTTCTTTGAAAAAAAGTAATAACTAATATTATAATGCTATAAATAATTAAATAATAATCAAAATATTACATATGATTAAATAATATTCTGTATCTACATTAATTCTTTTAGTAAGGACCAAAGTTTTTGGACTACATACACATTTGTAAAAAGGGAAAGAATGAAATGTTTATGATATCTAGAAATAGAAAATCATGTTAGCATAATTTCTAACACCATACCACGACATCTACATTTTTAAAATGATTAGCACAGATTATACAAGTGTGATATAAATGTTAAAAGATACACGTTATTCGAAGTAAAACAAATATTCCGAGACGAAGTGAGTAGGTCTTGGCATTTTTGCTCAGTTGTTCATACTTCATACTTAGGTCTCGGCGTATGGTAGTCGTCTTCCCGACGGCCACATAAGCTCTCCACCGCCACGTCAGCAAACCTACTCAGTTGTTCAGTACTTTTGCAACAATATTTTGACTCCATGGATTGCACAACTATTGTTTTTGTTCATTTGTTCCCCAAAATGCATGAAATTAAATGCATAAAAATATACAATCATCAATATAATACTATGGAGTATAATGCAAATCAAAATGAAATTAAATCCTCGAATAGGCAAAATGAGATTTTAAAAAAATGTCATTTCTCTCGTCTAAATTTACTAAACACGTACACTCCTCGAATAAGCAACATCAAATTGATACTCCCTGTGAATGAAAGTAGGTGTAACAAGGAAGAAACACCTCATTACATGAGACAATTTAGGCAATGCAAAAGCCAATATAGAATATCCACCTTACACTGTGCTTTGTTCAAGGATTTGAAAGGAAAAAGAAAAGAAAATAGGATGGAAAACACTTTTCCTTGTTTGGTAAGAGAGGAAAAAATAAGAAAAGTGGAAGGAAAAGAAAATGGGAAGGCAAAATGTACTAAGAAGAGAGGAAAATGAGAGAAACCCATTTTCTTTTCTTTTACTTCCAAATTACTTGAACCAAACATAGTGTTAGTTCCTCAATTGTCGAAGTCATTCATTTAGTGCCAGAGAATTACATATTAGATTATCCTATTTATCCTAGTACTATTTTCTTATGATCACCCTCTTCGTTCTAACATGAAGTATCCTTATAAAATCAAAGTATAGAAATACAATTCCTCCAAACACAACTCATATAAATTGAAAATGCAGAGGGAACAAAATATAGATAGAAATATCATACCATTTCACAATGAAGAATATTTTCCTCCCATTATAAGTGCTTCAGCTCAAAAGTAGATGCATCTCTATATACGCAGTATTGTTGATTCTGTACTTGCAAAAACAAAATTTTAATAAAAAGATTAAAACCGATTCAGACTCCGACCATATAGACCGTCCAGATTTCATCTGAGCAAGAGAGGCCAGGAAGACAACCCTCCAATGCCACGCTGACCTGATGGCTCAGATGAGACAAGCAGCTTGTAAAGATTAAAGATATGAATGTTATAATTACCTGAGGGAGTCTCACGCTAATGCCGCTTGTTTCTGTCTTTGACTTACTTTCATGAATAAACCCTACACACAAAAGATAAATGGATGTTGAATAAATTTTTTAATTAATATGTTCTCTTCTCCAATACAATTTCATAGAATCAGAATCGTCTTTTTTTTTTTTTGCCAAACATGCTCCTGGGCAGCATTAGCTTAATATCTTACATTTGTGGTATGAATGGTTGCTCCTGTAGTCATGTTAATATTTTGATTTGGAATCAACTCGAAGTTCATGTTCTGCAAAAATATTGCCAGAGAAACAGTGGCCTCTAGTAATGCAAATTGATCACCAACACATTTACGTGGCCCTCCGCTGAAAGGGATGAATCTGCAATTCATTATTTACCAACAATTATCTTCATCACATCGAATAATAACATATGTATACTTTTGGTCCCCGCAACTACTAGTCTACTACAATGCTCCCACATTTGGTCCCCAACTTTCACTCTTTCCATTTTGTGACAAACAATAGATTTCTAGCTTTTTTTGGGACCAAAAGTCGAAAAAACTTAAAAAAGATTAGAGCCCATGAACAAAACTGGGAATTACCTACCAGCTGTGGACCAAAACTGCAGAACTTTTAAGCAAATTAAAGCACATACATTCTTTAGGGAATGTTTGGATCCTGAAAAATCCTAAGGAAAGGAAAAAAACTACGGAGTAAATTATTTCCATGTATTTGGTTTTACCAAGTAGATCGCAAAGGAAAATGAAATATACTTAATGTTTAAAAAGTTTTTACAACTGTTTAGATTAGCATTTATATCATAGAAAAAAGTTACTCCTTAAAATGAGTTTGAAGGCATATCGAAAATAATTTTGAGTTTGAACCAATGTTGTATTCCCCCACGTTTTCTTCTTTCCAAATTTCTCATATACTTTCCTCCATATTTTCTTTCTGTAGCATTTCCCTAAATTTAGATATAATGTTAAGGTAAAATAAAAGGGACTTGGTGGATAGAATACCTAAAGTCAGTATTTGTCTCATTAGGAATTGGATCTTCCAAGCCAAACCTTTCTGGCAGAAAATCTTCTGCTCTTTCCCATACCTTTGTAGAATGGTGAATATTATACACCGAGATCATTATATCTTGACCCGCATCTATTTTATAATTCCCAGGCAAAATATCAGCTACTTGAGCTCTTCGTAGAAGTACCTAATCAAATTAAGTTTTTCAGGGGAAACAGGTCAAACTAAAAAAATGCATTACAAGCATTCAACTGGAAAAATAATCGAAACGTACAGGAGGATGTGGATATAGCCGAAGAGACTCCATTATGCACCGTGTCAAGAACTTGAGATTCTTTATGTCTTCATATGTTGGGTTTATTCCCCCTAAAACTTGGTCCACTTCTTCTCGTGCTTTTCTCAAAGAGGAAGGATCCTGCATGAAGAAAGAGTATTAAACTATTAATTATTAAGACTTCGGGTTTCATACAAAAATCTTGAACTTCAAATGAAGAAAAGCCCAAAAACTATTGGTTGGTTTGAATTTTATAGAAGTGGGATGACTTAGCACTAAGGTTGTGCAGCCAGGAAAAGGGATGACACTTTTGTTTCTTATGTTGACCAGAGCTGTCAACTACTTTTGGGATTCAAGAATTTTAGTGTTAGGTTCAAAATCAGGGAACATCTATTGAAGATGGACCGTACCTTACTCAGAAGATATAATGTCCAAGTCAATACAGAACCAGTGGTTTCATGTCCAGCAACAAGCATAGATAAGAGGTCATCACGAAGCTGTACGCTTGAAACCTAAAATTTGCAGCATTGACATCCCATCAAGGTTAGAGGACAAATTGAAGTTGTAGATAGAGCTATAGAACCTGAAAAGTTGTTTCAAATGGGTTGCCAACCTCTTCCCTGCTTGCAAGTAAAAATCTAAGGATGCTTGGATCAGTAGTATTCACATACTCATCTTCAGTTATATTCTCGCCCTCGGTTTCCACCATCTCTTTGCACTTTGCAATGAGTTCTTCAACTGTTTGTCTAATTAACATAACTGCTTTCTCAGCCTTCACTTGTCGTGGAACTACTTTACACAAAGCTTTAATCTGCAATTGATCAGGTGATTATAAATCATAATCAATAATGGTCAGTTTGGATGGCAGGTTTTAGTGAGGAAAGCGAGTCTATATCAAAATATATAGTGTTACTGGGTACGGATAAATGGCAATAAAAATGTTATATGATCGCCTATTATATTATTATATTATTCTTTCAATTTTATAAAACCTCAAATATACAACAAGATATACATTAAGCCTTCAAAAACTCTTCCCTCCGAAATCCTTCAAAATCATAATCTTCCATTGAAACTAACCATAAGGGTCCATTTGGATGGTGGGTTTTGGAGGTTTTTTACAGGAAATTCTTTGAAAGGATTAGTCCAAATTTTGATAAATAGAGTGTTTCTAAAAACGAACAAATGATGATTAAAATGTTATATGAATCCCTATATGTAATTCTTTCAGTTTCTTATACGTTGATTTAACCTTCAAAGACCTACCCCTCCAAAACGCTCCCAAATCCTCCATCCAAACTGGCACTTAGATAAATTATCATCAAATCATCAATAAAAAAATAAATAGCCACTAAAATAACTTTCCTTCCAATAGGGCAAGAGATCGGTTGACCGCATTTCTGCTTCTTTCAAAGCAGTGTAAACCGCACCAATCACTGGACTATTGGTGTCAAGAGAATCAAAGCTGTAATTGAAAATAGATAGCCCGATTACATCAAGTGTTAATTGAGAAAATTTCTCCTCCATGTTTACAGCAGAACCACTGAGAGCATAAGGCATAAGTTTCTCCACCAATCTCTCAGCACATCTGCAAAAGACCCTCTCAACAATTACTGACAAGTACTTCTTATGGAGAGAGGGAACCACAGCCCTTCGTCTTACCTATAAAAAAACTTAAATCTTGAGCCAGATTAATCACATTTACAATAAAAGACTCACATTTGAAAATCAATGAAACAATTAAGGTCATGTGAAATTTGTGTATCTCATGTAGTGGCTCATTGGAGCATACCAATGTTGAATTTGTGGGTTGCTTTAATTAAATGAAATTGGTAGTTTTGACCTCACTCTAATATCATAGTGAGACTTGAGTTTCCATCCTAAGAGGGTATGTTAGAAAGAATGGTTAATGACTTAATACGTTGGTTTATATGCTTATATGTATTCAAAATTTATGCTCGAATTCAAAGTCAAAGATCTTGTGACTAAGATTTCTACAAAACTCCATCTATATTCTGTAAAGTGGAATCTAATCATACAAAAACTAGTGAGATTTACCTCTTAACAAATTCAACATTGATATTCAAAGCCGATAGGCTTGTACTGATGAATTAAACAAAATTAAATCTATACATTCTCTGAAACTGAACCTAATTCTGAACAAATTAACTCCACTACGGGGAGAAATTGAAGAAAATGAGTGTTTACCGTCCAAAGGGGGCCTTGAGCAATGGCAAAGCCGGACCCGAACAAGAACTCAGACACCTCGGAAACAAGCCCCTTTGCATACTTCCCGTAATTTCTCAGTACGTGCTTAGCGATAGATGGATCACTGACCACCACAAAGTTTTTAGGCCCACCCGCAAGGCGGTAGATGTGTCCGTACTCATTCATCCATTTCAACAGTGGGAGGAAGAGAGCCCCGCCCAGTAGGTCGGAGACGTCCTCCAGCTTCGCCTTCGCGACCGGAATATTCGAATCGTCGGTCCGTCCTGCCGCTAGGGATCTGGTCAGATTCGTTAGCCAGTCCGGACTCACCCATGAGCCGTGCGGTGGTTTTTCCAATGAATTTTTTACGATTGGATAGTGGGCAGTGCGCGGGAAGTTGGGGCGGAGGGGGATGGAACGGCGGTGATAGGGTGGACCGGTGCGGTGGAGGGGAAAGGACGAGAGAGAGATTGAGGATGGCATGCTGGTGGAGCTGCCGTATGCCGTCGTCTCAGCCTCACGATTTGGCGCCCTTTTTAGTTGCCACGGAGTACGGAGGCCGGAGTAGAAGAGTAAAAAATTAAAAATGCTTTTTTCGTGCTCTAGATGTTTGGACTGATTTTAGTAATTTAGCTTCTGCTTTGAGTGAAAATAATTTTATTCTGTTTGGCATGTCAACTTCTGCTTTTCACTACCACTATTTTATACACAGAACACCGTTTTGGAGAAGCAGGTATGAGGTGTTTTTGCTTTCAGCTTTTGTAAAAATCACTTTATCCAAAAGTTAATCACTCCCAAACAAGCTCATTAGGAACGACGAAATGACATTTTAAACCAATTTTTAGTTGGTCGGACAAAAATACCCACACCACATAATTTATTATTCCTTCGTTTCACAAAACTGGTCATTGATAATATACTCATCATAATTATCATACGAAGTGTCAAACATCTAATATAATTACTTCCTCCATCTCAAATTAAATTGTGTATTTATTATTCACATGATAAAATTTTATTTATTTTTTCCCCTATTTTTGTTAATCATTTGATAAAATAATGTAGTCTTGTCACTATTTATTTTGTAGATCTTTTGATGTAATTTTGAATATGTAATTTTTATTTTTTAATCCAATTTTCATACGGTATAAAATAATTTTTTAATAACCTTAGTCAAACATCCTAAATCAAAACAGAAAATTTAATTTAGGATAGAGGGAATACGTACTACATTATTTATTTACAAAACTACTTTGTATTTAATTATGTATAGGGTAAAAATTATTAGTCATGAAGACTGGGTTGGCTGATCCTGTGAGTACCCTTGTGGGTTAGGTTTGGGCTTCAATTGTTAGGTCTGCTGCACTAATTGCGTGAGGTTTATGCCTGAACAATTCTCTTAATATAGCATCTTCGTCCCGTCTGAAATGTGGCATGTTCCGCATTTTAATTGGGTCTACTCAATGTTTTTGAACATTTTTTGTATTTCTCTATTAAATCATGCTGAATTTTTTTTATTTAAATAGGAGTTGTGATATTAATGATGACAATAAATAAAATTACCTACGCAAAAAAAAAGAGAGAAGTAATTTAATATGACTGAAAATACTTCATATATGCAAATATATTAAAATATGACCTATAATGCTAAAGAGTTGTAATATCAAAAATACTATCAAATGTTCCCACAATGTCAATTTGTGACACTACAAAGTACCAATGCTCTTGTTTAGATTATAAAAATATAGAGGGTCTCTTTTTAATAAAAATTTGAAGTTTTTACTCTTATGTAGATAATTTTTGACAATAAATAGTCGCAAGTTAATGTGGATAAGAAGTGGTGTGATGTGTCAAAGTCATGCATTGTGTCCATGAAGATAAATCACTCTTTAATCTCACTTAATTATTACTCTCTCCGTTCCATAAAACACTTCTGTTTTAATTTTTTACGCAGCCCATATATAAAATACTTATATCCCACCTAAAATGTCTAAAATACCCCTAAAACAACTTCTATCCGCAATAAACTACATAGTGGGGTATATTTTAAATATTTTAGGTGGGAGTAAAAGCGTTTAATGAGGTGCGCAAAAATTTAGGGTGGAAAGGCTTTAAGGAACGGAGGGAGTAGAAAAATTCATTATATAACCATGCATTAAATTAGATGAAACTCTCACATTATTATTCTCAATTGTGACAATTTGTATTTTTTCTATACAATTCAGTTTTTTAAATATATTATCAGCGGAAGATTTATTGGAGAGCTTACATCATAGTAATCATATACATTTTTGGTTGAGCATTATCTTGTAGCACAAGGAGTGTACTAACATTATTCATTAGAATATAATCATAATAGTAAATATTTGGTAAAATAGATTCCACGAGCGAGTTGTTAACTAATCGTAATAAAATCACGACAAATTTATTCCATTCTTGTAAATATCCTTACTGAGCTTTGTCGCCTTGTTGGTCTTGTTTCTGGTTGGATAAACATATCTTTCTCGACTCTATGAAGTTTTTATTTTTTGAGTCACATGACTTGTAATACTCTAGAAACGTTGCAAAATCTGTATCCTTATACTTCTTTGGATTTGACTCACTAATTGGTTTAGGCAGTGGTCTCACGGTCGTCTCAAAAGGCACGCTATGAAAAGAAGCCACCGAAAACCTTGGTTGCAGTGAATTCACTAGTGCTCTATGCATCACACTTTTGTACTTCTCATTGCTGAATATCTGTTACAAAATAATAAGTTCATAAATAATCACTTAGACTGAATAGAATTTACGACTGTGTTGCAATAGATCAAACTGTTAATATGTAAATCTCTTTAAATTAGTTAGTTTAACCAAAATCATGCCAACCAACCATCTTTTTTAAAACATTATCGATGTAGGACGACCTGTAACGTCTATGTTTAAAATATACAAACAGATTATTATTTTGATCCTAAATGTTTATCCACTTGCAAAGAGACTCTACATCTACTATAATCTAAAATAAAAGTTCAAAATGAACCAACAACGCCTTAGAGATCACGGAATACTCAAATTACATTTGGTTGGATCATTTACCTCTAAACTCCTCAAAATGTGATCAATTTCCCGCTGAACTTTATAAATTACACTAAAAGTCCTTGAACTTCAAAAAAATGTTGCATCAATGGTCCTTCTATGCCAGATTTAGAAGTGTCTTAAACACACGCTCGTCGAGTGCAAGTATAAACTCATCTAAACTTCTATTAGTTGCATATCACATGTGGGTTCTACAATATATATACTTTTTGAAAACATTATATTCTATATTTTTAACTTTATCAAATTATAGATAATTATTCTCGCTTTATCAGTCAGTACTGAACGTGAAGACTAAACACATGTCGATCAACCTCTTCATCAATCCATAACAACTTCACCAAGCTTCAATAAATATATTGATGAGTGTCTGATCGAATAACACACTTCTAATTTTGACACATAGGGACTATTGATGCAGTGCTTTTAAAAGTTAATGGATTATTAGTACAGTTTTGTTAAATAATGTACTTGGATCCCAATTCAACCCCAAAAGTTAACTCAAGTGGTGGAGGTACCCAAACTATTATAAACAAGATAATGTTGGCCTACACATATAGCTGATGTGGGATGAGTACAACTCAACAAATTTTCAAAAGTTCAGGAAAATTCGTGTAATTGTTAAAGAGTTTGATAAACTTTACAATAACACTCTATATATTAAAAAAATACACTTCAAGAACATAGATTGCATGCAATTAACTATGATAAGTACCTCAAGAAGGTCACCAACATTCACTACAAAGGCACCTGAGATGGAATCAACACCAACCCAATCCCCACGATGGTGGATTTGTAAGCCATTGACATGATCTTGGAGGAGGAGGGTGAGGAAGTCAATGTCAGAGTGTGGAGGAATTCCGAGAGTCAAATCAGGACTTGGGCATTGTGGGTAATAGTTCACCACTATGAATTGGCTCCCATTTTTGAGTTCTTTCAACGTTAACTCGTTATCTTTCTTTCCATCGTCTTCTTGTACACCAAGACTTTCTAAGATCGCTTCAACTACCTTCACGTACAATAATTTTACTTCTTCTGCGTACGTAAGGACATGTTTTCTACAATAATGTTCAAATCATCATTAATCGAGACGAAAGGAGTAACAAAATGAAAACAAAAGATATTAATTAAAAGGAAGCTAATCAAGGAATAATTACTCATACCTAAAGTCAAAGGGAGAAGAAGGCCACTGGGGTAGGACATGAGGATCACAAACCAGCTTGAGAAAGTCTCTCCAACAAAACACGACATCCTTTGTTTGATTAAAGCTTGTCCCGTATCGGACTGGAGCCGACACGTCGGAGCTCATGTACTTCTCCCTCTCTGTCACCGGAAGGTTGAAAAACCTCCTTGTCGCATCCCTCATGTTGCTTATGACATCCTCAGATATACCATGATTCACGAGCTGCACCATATTTAAAAGCAGTAAATCTTTATTTCAATTTTATAATTATCAGTTTAATTTGCCAAAGTTATACGCGCACACACGAAGTACGTGTGTGTTTTCATCAAAAATACATTATATATACCTGAAAGAACCCAAAATTTTTGCAAGCGCTTTGAAGAGATTCAATGACTCGAGCCCTATGAGGCTTGGAGTTGCTCAAAATCTATGATGGGGAGCTTGAGATTATAGTTAACCTTAACGACATCATTTTTAGAAATTATTTCATTAAGATTGGGACGTTCCGGCGCAGGGAGAACATAGTTTCCAGGAACAACTTTTATGTCGCCAACGTCGCACGCAGATTTCAAGCTTTTCTTGTGCGAGAATCTTTCTTGATGACTATTCTCGTTATGGAGTGACCCACACATTAACTACAGAGACATTTTTACGTACTAACAATTAATTGCGCGTTATACTCGTTGATTATTGAGGATGATATGAAGTAATTAATGAAGAGAGGAGGAATATAATTGTGCATATATGTTATACTCCGTATATATACACATGAAGAAGTGGTGTTCTTGCATGCAACCCACCTGCTTCTTTGCAATACAATTAGGTTTGAATTAATTACAAATTATAGGTTTAATTGATCAAAATAATTTAATTGATCAAAATAAAAAGTCCGGGCTAAAATATATTTAATTGATCAAAATAATTTAATTGATCAAAATCATAGGTTTGAATAAAAAGTCTAAAATATATTTAATTGATCAAAATAATTTAAAAAAATATGTATTTTTTTCGGTCCAATCGGTCCGGACTGGTTCGCTCCTAAATATTTCAGTCCGGTCCGATCCAAACCCAAATAGATTTAGATCCGGTCTTCGGTCCTTGAATTTACTCAATTTGGTCTTCGGTCCGGTTTGGTCCGGTCTTAGACCCATGAACTTGCCGGTATTCCGATAATCTAAGGATTATGTGAGGAGTCTCTTTTTATGAAAGCTCAAACCTAATCTTAACAATTACTCCCTATTTATATGATAAAATTGTGACAAAACTTTGTATTTAATTACCAGAAATATGGCGCGAGTGATTAAAATGACCAACCACATTAGCTGGATGATCCATCCACTGTAATCCATTTCCATTGAACTTAAATTTTTGTTTATGTAAGCTGGGCCCTACTTTTAAAAAAAAAATAATTAATCACAAAACTACCTCAAAGTACCATTGATTTTCTGGTATGACTTACAGGTTATGCATTATCTGAAATATATTCTGGGTACATTCAATTTTTTGCTAAGAACTCTCAAGTCCCACATTATTTGAAATTTAATATGAGAGTACTTAAAATTAGTGATAATGTATTCCTTGGATTCAATTTGTCTATTTCACCGTTATGATTAAAATTTTTGGTACTTTGGCAAATATTGAATTTACCTTCATAATCATTATGTGATTAAATCTAAATAAAATTCTTCAACTTCAAATTTGGTTACCAACAATTAAGTGAGAATTGTCATATTGGCTTTCAAGAAGATTAAAATATAGAAAATAATATTTGGAAAAACATATTACAGAATTCACATGTGATACCGTTGATGTAGTGTTTTTAAAAGTCCAGGGACAATTGGTGCCTGCAATTAATAAAGTTCAAGATGAACCCATATAATTTTTTGAAGAGTTTAGGAGTAAATGATGCAAAATCTCGATCTTTAAATTAATCTTATATCGTCATTCAACATTAACCATACAAATATGCCAACTTAAAGGAAAAAAGGTTCTTTTTTTATTTACTGTCCTAGAATCTTTAAGAGTACAAATTACTCGTACTATGAAGAGAAAAGACGATTAGATAACACGTAAGGGGAGAGAAAATAAAAGTCAATAGGAATGCCAATTCAACATTTGTTCGCCGGATTATCACATTTACGACCAAGGGGTACACTTTTGTTATAGTTTTTGAAGATAAGGTATGTGTTTTCTTTACAAACGGAAGAGAAAAAAAATATTTTTTTCACCTTTTATTTTTTTAAATATTTTACGTATTTTTGAAATATATATATATATATATATATATATAGTAATTTTTATTGATGAACCAATTTGTAAATGGAATAATTTTAAAAGATGAAAAGGTTTATCTCGTAAGTCGTAACTCTGAATTTGTAATTTAAATTGGGATAGAATGAATATAACTTTAAAAATACGTGTCTCAACGGTAACAATTTCACAATTAAGATTCTTTCTTTGTGCGAGGTCTTGAGTTCGAGACATTATACTAACAAAAAAGAGCTTGCTTTCACATATTTAAGGGTCTGAGAGTTTAACTCCGTTGTCGTGGTTACCATTAGCACCGATGCTATAAAAAAATCTCAGCCCTAATTGGGGTATGACCAAATGAGTAGGGCAAGCAGTGTATACTGTATACTCATTCGTAAGTCCAAGACCAGAGAGTTTCTTGTGCTGGGGCTGCAATGTGTTGCACCGAATGAACCTCGGGATTGGGACTCATCCCCGAGCTCGAAATTTGTTATCTCCCCTCAGTAACTTGAGCAAGGGGTACACCAAAGGTGTATCCCAAATGTACACTACCCCCTTCTCCACCACTCATTTTTATTTGATTTTTATTTATTTATTTATTTTTAAATTTCTTACCTATTTATGTAGACAAAGAGGGGGTGTGTGACATATAAGGTACACCTTTAATGTATTCTTAGCATTTTTCTAGTAACTTTGTCTGGTTTGGGGGTGCATTACTTTCTTTTCTTCATTACTACAACCATCGAGAAAAGTGTATGTGGGGATATCCAGTTATCCACAACCACAAACTGTTCACATGTTGTTGTCTCTCTCCCGCTGCGATCCTCATCTGGACCATATACCAAGAACCCAGTAGTATTCATTGATTTCATTCCCCAATATTCCATATCCCATTTTACGAATATTCCTATAAATTTTGTTCATTTACATTTTTATTCAATACGGATTACTGTGTAAATAAAAAAATAAAAAAAGTTCGACCTTAAAAAAAAAATTGAAAAATATCGCCATTTATCTCTCTGTCAATAAATAAATATCACACAGTTCTTAGCCAAAGCTAACCTTAAAAAAAAATGGCTCCTGTATTTGTTCACTTCATCTTCTTCTTCATCTTCAAGCTATTCTCATCTGGTGTGTTAGCAGCTGCCAGCTGCGACCAATGCAACTCAAGGGTTACTTATTTTGCCAACTCTTCTGGTCTTTCAGGTAAGATTCCCCCCGCCGCCGCCCTTTCCTGTTTGCCTTTTTCCAGATCTTTTTAAATTAGTATGGACTTTTTGCCCATTTCTCTCAAAATTAGCTCAAATAACTTTCTCCAAAATAAATGCCACTTCCATTTTCGTATCATCTCAAAATCATCTTTTTATTTCATTTCAAGCATACTAAAAATTTTAGATTCTGCAGTCAATTGTTATCGAATTTAGTGTTTACTTGAGCAAATAAAGAAGTAAGCATTTTGTTTTAATTCAAAAAACTGGTAAATATATGGAGCTAATTGAACACTTACTTATAGCTAACACTTGCAAAGAAGTGTAAGTTAGTGGTGTAATATGAACTTTGAAGATTTTGTTAGAATATAATCACATTTCTGTGTCTTTAACTAACTTTTGATTGAGTTGATTCATTGACATAATATCAGAGTTTCGTTGACAAGAGTTCACGAGTTCCAAACTTTTCTGGCATAGAGGTTCAAACCTCATTGTCCAAATTTGTTAGTGTATAAAATCTATCTTTGGTCTACAATCACAAGTTTGAGTTTTAGGTTGAGTTGGTTGGTATTAGAGACTTGATGCCCTAGAGGTCATAGGTCTCAGTTTTAACAAATTATTTTTCACGTGTAAGTATCGTGCAAAAGTATAACTCTTTTGCACGCGAGGGGCGTGTTAGAGTATAAAACCTATCTTGGGCCTACAACCACAACCTTGTGCTTTTGCTTGAATTGGTACATTAGTTGGTTCTTTGACAAAATTGGTTGTTTAATGTAGCTGGAGCTTGTGGGTATGGTCCTTATGCTGTTAGCTTCTATGGTGAGCATGTTGCTGCTGCTGTTCCTAAGCTTTTTGGGAATGGCTTTGGCTGTGGTGCTTGCTATCAGGTATATATCCATTCTTTTTTTGCTTAGAGCTCATTTCGCTTTCATTCTAATTAAAAAACTGATTATGTTGATTTTGTAGATTCTGTACATTAAGAATAAATGTTAGGCCTAACTCACCTGAAAAGAATCCTCAAGAGCATGAAGTTTACTTCGTCTGGAGTACTTTCTTAAGGGTTTCATTCATTCATATTCAGCCGATGTTGGATGACTCCAACACTCCGTCACGACCAACATTGTTCATTGGTTTGTGTTTTTCGTAGGGTGTGCCACAATCATGGTTACTGTCTTACGGATCAGGTCGTATGGTTAGACATTATGGCTTTGATATATGTTAAGAACAAGCTTTAGGCCTAACTCGACTCAAAAGAGCTCTCAAGATTAATCTCGAACCTATTAAGGAATTCTTTCATGTTTAGCCGATTTGGGATAACTCAAAACATACTTTGATTCAGAATCTGGTTTTAAAGAGTAATCGCTTTAATTTTCATTATGAGAAGTGAATGAGCCGAAATGAAATAAATGAAGCCTAATGAGCCCCTTGCATTAAGTTCTGTTTGGTTGGTAATGCTCCATATTTGCAGAATTCAGTAATAAATGTGACTCAAGTCTAATTAGAGTTCTGTTGTTATGGTGTGCAGATAAGGTGCAAGCAGAGCAAGATCTGCAGCCAAACGGGGACGAAGGTCGTTTTGACCGATCTGCATACCGATAAGAGCAATACTGCCACTGACTTTGTCCTGAGTAGCAGAGCTTATAGGGGCATGGCCTTACCTGGAAAGGACAAAATACTATTAGGCCTTGGCATTGTGGATGTGGAATACCAAAGGTACCCCTTTGTTTTTTTTTCCTTTTTTCTTGTGTGTGCACAATTAGACTAGGATTATCTTCCATTTATGATGATATAATGAGGAATTATCGCGTACTCCAAGCATTTATGATGATAAAATGTGGCAGGGTCCCCTGTGTGTACAACAACAAGAACTTGACCCTCCTAGTTGAAGGACACAGCAAACCTCCCTACTACTTGGCAATCAAAATTCTGTATCAAGGCGGCCAAGCTGATATCCCAGCTGTCGAAGTGGCTCGGGTTAGTAAACAATGCAACCCTATGTATGTTTTGTGCCCCTCAGTCACACAAAAAAGGTTCCATAATGAAATCGGCACAGTGAAAAAGAAAATGTGAAACTTTTTTATGAGACAGAGGGAGTAACACATTGTAAAACAACATGTGTTCTACTTTTGTTGTTGTTGAATGCAGGTTGGTGAGCCAGTTACTTGGGTACCGATGACCCATAACTACGGGGCTGTTTGGGACACGAGCAAAGTTCCAAAGGGTGCACTGCAGTTCAGATTCAACATCACTTCAGGCAAAGATGCTCAATACTTTTATACCAAACAAGTCCTTCCGGCTAACTGGAACCCCGGCAGTCTCTACTACTCTACTGTCCAAGTCACCAACGTCGCTAATGGCGGTTGCACCCGTTGCAGCCCCTATTAAGACAACCCCGAGCCGACTCTTATTCCTCACTGCAAGAAATGCCTAGTTATGTTTTCTTTCAACCGCAGTTTCCCTGTGTCTGTTTCAAGTGCCTGTTGTTTTGTTAGAGTTAAGGATGTTTTGGCCAAAGTTAAGGATGTTTTCAATTGGGGTTGAGAAATTGTGAGGCTTTACTGTGTTAAGAGCCGTGGACCATTGATATGTTTTGCCTCGTACCTTTAACGTTTCATTATGAGTTTCTTCATTTCTGTTTATTTTCAGTTGAGTTTAGTTTAATGAAGTATAGTGTTTGGCCTCGTACCTTCGACTTGAACACTTTTTTTTTTAATATACAAACAACTCAGTTTGAGTGAGGAAAGGCTATTTACCAAAGGAAGGGTACAACATTTTTCTCACAAATTTAGAAACATGACAGAAAATTAACTAGAGAAGAAAGGAAGACTTAAAGATTGAGTCTTATTTTGGGACAGACGAGAGTATTAAAAAATTGAAAGGTGTAGAGCAAAGAATTTTTAAAAAAAAAAGGTATAATTGAAATTTATTTTGAGAAAAAAAAAGAATCAATCGAATGTTGTTTTAGACCAAATAAGGGAAGTAACTCATATTTTTATTTTTAACTCTTTTTATGTATTTTTCTCTTGAACCAAACGCGCACTAAAGGGACAATGTTCTAATAACCAAAGACGTTCAATACGTAAAACTTTATCTTTTTTTTTAAAAAATATATTTTATGTTTCAAAAATTAGAATTGGAATTGGAGTACATTTTTTAAAATTACGTCAAAAAACCTATAAAAGCAAAGTGACATTACTATTTTATTTTATTAAAAGATCAATGAAGAGACATAAATAAATAAAAATATTTGACAAACTGAAATAGTAAATGTGTCTTTTGGCATGAGACAGAGATAATAATTTTTTTATTGTTTGAAAATCAATTTTACAATTTTCTCATTTTCTGAAATATAGTATTTTTGCACATACACTAATTGTTTTAAGCAAGGAGTTTTAATGTTTTATGTACTTGTTGTGTGCTTTTGCATGCCTTGTATGTGTGGTTTTTTGTATTTGTAGTACTTTTCCTTTGTTATTCTTAATTTGTTTTTTGTTCTTGTATGTTTTGTGTTTTATCTGTCCCTTTTTGTTTTAAATATCTCGTGTGGCTCTTTTAACTATGCAGCTGAGCCGGGTGTCTCTTGGAAAGAGTCTCTCTACTTTCAAGTAGGGGCAAGGTCTGCGACATACATTCACCCTCCGAGACCTTACTCTCATATGATCTAACTGAGTTCTTGTTGTATACACAAATTGTTGGTAAGAGATATAGGTTGCGTTTCGTTCAATTTATTTTTTCAATTAATTATTTATTCTTATTAAAATCAAATCAAATAAGACTAGATTAGACGAGAAACAACTTTAAGTATAACTAAAATCATATTAGGCCATACCACAACAAATTAGACCAAATAAATAAAATCCGATCAGAGGAATGGAATGCAGCCTTATTATGTCTAAGACACTGTGTGATGTTATTTATAACACCATTTTTAGAATTGAAGTGTGAGACACAACATTTCTTTATATTCAAAACAAATTCTAATAACGTATTTTTATTTTAAATCATTTTTTAAAATTATGTCAATTTATAAACTTTAATCCCACCATCATGTAATAGATCACGGGGTACAATTTTTTAATCCCAACCTCTCAATAATTTTTGTTAACATTGATTATTTCATAAAATAAAACATTCCTATCAATCTTTATTTTGTAAAAATTTTAATGTACTTTTTAGTATTATGTATATAATTTTATTTTTGTTTTTATATTAATTTTTAAATAAAATAATTTTAAAATTTAGTTTTGTCCCGTAACCTTAATTTTTAAAAATTAATTTTTATTTATATTTTTGTTTTTATATTAATTTTTAAATAAAACAATTTTAAAATAGAGTTTTGTCCGGTAACCTTAGTTTTTAAAAATCAATTTTTATTTTCGTAATTTACCGTAATCTTCTTCGTTCGTTCCTGATGAGCTTGTGAAACAAGATCTTCCGTCCAGCGCCGCCGCTCGATTCGTCATCGCCTCCTTCGCGACTCTGAGTTCTTCAAAGGTATATTCTTCAGTTCAATTTCAACTTTATTCCTTCAATTTCTTTTCTCTTTCAATTAGTTTCCAGTTCTTCAATCTCTTTTTCTCAAATTCCTTAAAGAGGGCTTTTTTTCTCAAGTCTCGTTCACAGAGTTTCATCAGACGACTGTATTACAACAACTCTTACTTGAGCTTTTAGTTTGCCCAAAATGTTTCATATGTTTATCTATTTTATGCTGAATGACTAAAATGATAAAAACAGTTGCCTCGTTGTGCGTTCTAAGACTGTTCTTATAATGGGGAACGTAATGCTTTATATGTTTATTTATGGTATGTGATATGATTAAAAATGATCTTATCAAAGTGTCATTGCACATGGTTTTTATCAGGCATTTACTTTCACTTGTTACTGCTTGTAAGTGAGTTTGGAATATGGGAAAAGCTTCAAGGGATAAAAGGGTACACCGCGTTTCCCACTCAAATATCATTTGATTTTCACAAATTTTGCTCTTGATTTCCGTATGCTAACTTATGACTAAATGAACTTTACAGGATATTTACTATCGGAAAGCTAAGGAAGAAGGGTGGCGTGCAAGGAGTGCATTTAAACTCCTCCAGATTGATGAGGAGTTTAACATATTTGATGGTGTTTGTTCAAATATATATAGCAAAAACTTGAAATTTTTAAGCATGTATTAAGTTGAATAGTTGTATATTGTTCACTTGTGTTATTTAAACGAGACGAGGATCCAAAAGAATTAGTTAATCGCGCTCTAGAAATGCTGGGGACTACTAATTTGCGCCATCTCACATGAGATGAAGTTAGTTAGGAATTCTAATCTTAGGCCAATTTGTATGTACGAAATCTGAAATAGTTGCTGCAATACAGAATGCATATTTATGTGGTAATCCTTGCAGGTTTTCATTTCGTTCCCAATCATAAAACCAAAAAAATGTTTTTTTTAAATTTCTTATCTCAATTTTTAGGTGTCTGATCACATGGATTCAGTTATGTTTCATTATATTTAGGTGTCATAATTTAGTGCATCTACATATAACAAGCTTTCTTTTCAGTCTGATGTTCCCTGTTAAGATATCAAGCAAGGTCATGTGTTATTGCATGTTTGATTTCTTATGGCTTTTTTGCTGTTATATCCGCAGGAGTTAAACATGTTGTAGATTTGTGCGCAGCGCCTGGTAGCTGGAGTCAGGTGTCTAAAATCTGTAAAAAGTCTCGTTTTTTTGGTTGTTATACTGAATTGTTTTGAGTTTTCATTTCTTGCGAGGATCTGGATACCGCTTGTTGTTGTTGTTTTACTCGCAAAAGGGCTACTTTTTCCTATTTATAAAGGACTGAATCAGCTTATCATACACACTTTATCTCTCTTGTGTATAGGTTTTGAGCCGGAAGTTGTATCTCCCAGTGAAGCTATCCCCAGAATCAGTGTACATACACTAATTTATTTTTAATTTAAATGTACTTGAGTTCATTTTGTTTGTCTTAAAGTTTCTTCAACCAACTGGCATAAAAGATTGAATCTTATTATCATGTCACACGTGTTATTACCATATTACTTTTAAAGAGAGCAGCTCACAGATGATGTCATTAGGTTCGTGTTGCCTAGATTCCTAAAGACTAATCAGCAAAGGATTTTGCTTTTGTTAATGTTCTCAGGGACAGTGATCTACCACTTATTGTAGCCATTGATTTGCAGCCCATGGCTCCAATTGAAGGTGTGATTCAAGTACAAGGTGACATAACAAATGCTAGAACTGCTGAAGTGGTATGAGTTTTAGTTTTTTTTCTTTTTAGTGATGTTTTTGTTTGGAAAATTCAGACTAATAATACTCCCTTATTTCCCAAAAAAGAATCATTTTTTTAATAAAAGAAGCTAATATTTTATCATCCCAAACAAGCTTGTAAGTTTAGTTGTACCTTTCATGTTGAATTTGGTGATTTCTAATGATTGTGAAACATAATAATGCTGCTGATTGTGAACATTATTTCACATTCGCTCTTCAGGTGATTAGACATTTTGACGGATGCAAAGCTGACTTGGTTGTTTGTGATGGTGCACCAGATGGTAAACCATTATAAATTTATAACCACATTACCTCCTCTAAGCCGTCATTATAACTTCTGTGGCTTCATGTGAATTTGTTGCAGTTACCGGACTCCATGATATGGATGAATTTGTTCAGTCCCAACTCATTTTGGCCGTGAGTGGGCTATCTATATGTCAAAATATGTGTATAAGTTTTTTTTTCCCGAACTCAACCAACATTTTGTCACATAAATGAGCTTGCAGGGTTTGACAATAGTTACTCACATTCTAAAACAAGGTGGAAAGTTCATAGCCAAAATTTTTCGAGGAAAAGATACGAGCCTTCTTTATTGTCAGGTTAGTTGCTTCAAAGTTTCCTTGTAGATGTGTTGTATGGTTTGTAATTCTGTATATGTTCCTCATTTTCAAACATTTCTGCTTGTTATTATTTACTTCAGCTCTGTTTGCCTTTTTTCTTGTGTGTGTTTTAATGCAGCTAAAACTCTTTTTCACTGAAGTTACTTTTGCTAAGCCCAAAAGCAGTCGCAATTCAAGTATTGGTGAGTAGGAACTCCTTCACGAGTTGCATTTGGAATTGATAAAAAAAGAATCTCATTTCCTCAAAAATAAGTCATTTCTTTATGTAAAAAGAAGGTTTTTAATATATTATTTAAATACTTCTATTTTGTTGTGTGAGTCAAAATGCAGTGTCAAAATATCTTATCTCATAGATAAAATAAAAAATTTGAAAAATACGCTTCGAACGAATAACTTGTAACCGTGGTACCTTTCAAAAATTGAAAAGTTGTACCTTTACCAAACACGGCAGATATAATATTTAAAAAAATTGCTTTCATAAACTTTAAAATTCGGGAAAATTCCACCTTTATTTAAATACCTGTGTCAAAAAAATGCAGAAGCATTTGCAGTGTGTGAGAACTATTCTCCCCCGGAAGGATTTAATGAGAAAGACTTGCATCGCCTCCTTGATAAAGTTGGGAGCCCGTCCGGCATGGAAGACATAGGTTAATTCCCATCACTCCCCAAAGCACTTTGATTCCTCCAACTTATAGTAGCACCATATTACTATATTCTTAGTATTTGTTTTGTTAATTATCATATTCTTTCGTTCGACTTGTCCTTCCAATTGATGGTCTGAGAGCCCATACATAAAACCCACATGCGTTTTTCATTTTGTTTGGCAGATTGTAGTAGTGGATGGCTTGAAGGACCGAATAAGGTGTATATACCTTTCTTGGCGTGCGGAGACCTCAGCGGGTATGACTCAGACCGGTCATATCCCCTTCCAAAGAGTGCAGATGGAACTTATCAGAGCTTAGACCCTGTCCAGCCTCCCATTGCTCCTCCTTACAAGAGGGCTCTTGAAATCATGAAAGCTCAAAGCCAGGGCATCGCTTGCGACCTTGAAAACCTTTCCATTGGCCACTAAAAACCCGCCTCCCGAAGAACATTATGTCTCCTTTTAAGGTATTTGTTGTCTGTATTAATGTCTCATTTCCTTTTATCACCTAGTTTTTTTTTAAAAAAAAATCTAAAATTGTTAAATGTTAGAGATTACATGACGAGGTCTAGGTAATGACCATTTAAAGCCATAAGTTTGTACTTTGTGGTTTGATCGATTGCTATGTTTCTGAATGAGACAAAGGGATCAGAATTCTTGCGCTCATTCTAATTGTTAGTCTTTTTTTCCCCTTAAAACATTCAAATTTTAGAATAGTGATAAAATGCCTAATCCGGCCTTTTAGTTCAGATTAAACAACTCTTTTTGAGTGTGAAAAGACTTCACCAAACGTACAATACATAACCATTTAGAAACATAGATAGAAAACATATGAATCAACAAGCAATCCCATGTATTTCCCCAGACTAATTGAAAAGCTTTCTTGATTCAAGGAAATTCTTTTTCTTGTAGTCACTGGTCTTGATGTACTCAAGAAAAGTCGAAAAGTTCGTGCCCTTGTACCATCTCGGATTCGAACTACTTATAAGTTTCGGTGATGGCTCCACAATCGTGTCAATGGGTGTACTATGAAAGGAAGCCACCGAGATTCTAGGCTTGAACGAATTCACAACCGCTCTGTGCATCACACTTTTGTACTTCCCGTTGCTAAATATCTGAAGGAGAAAATAAACAATTATCGCACGCTAAGTTTCAAACTACTTCCTCCGTCCCGTTTTAAATTGCCCGTTTTGACTTCATGGCATATTTAAGGAAGAGAGAAAAAATAGAGTTCACTTTCTGAAATTGCCATTACTTTTTAGGAGGGATGACGCTGAATGAGAAGATAAGGTGGAGAAGAGTGACTTATTTTAGGGGTAATTTAGGTATTTTACTCTTAAAAGTTTACGATAACAAGAAACAGACAACTTGTTTTGGGACGGAGAAAAAGGAAAACAAACAATTTAAAATGGGACAGAGGGAGTATGAATTTAGATTTGAAACGGGTACCTCGAGGAGGTCGCCGACGTTGACCACGAAGGCGTTCGGGATGACATCGACGCCAACCCAATCCCCGCGGTGGTGGATTTGTAACCCGTTGACGTCGTCTTGGAGGAGGAGGGTGAGGAAGTCGAAGTCGGAGTGTGGGGGGATTCCGAGGGTGAGGTCAGGATTGGGACATTGTGGATAATAGTTCAACATCATGAACTGGCTCCCATTCTTGACTTCTGTTATTATTTTATCTTCAATTTTTTCATCAGAAGTCATGATGTTCTCGTCGTTGACCACTTCCTGATCACCGCCGTCGTGGACGGCGCCTAGGCTTTCCACGACGGCCTCCGCCACTTTAAGGAATAATGCTTTTGTGTTTTCTGCATATTTCACTGCACATTTCCTGCCATTTACGCCAAGTTATTATCATGGAGAGTAAATTATTACCATCTCCGTCCTATACCTTTTTTTTACCGCGGTGTTTTAAAACTAGCTATTCCACTTTTCTTTATTCCTACTTTTAATTTTTACTATTCACTTTTTGTTTTTCTTTTTTTTTTTGTAATTTTTCTTTCATTTATCATACTACCTCCGTGCTTGAGTATTTTTCAAGTTTTATAACCTTTGAATTAAATACGGAGTATATACTTTGGATTGTGTATTAATGAAATAAAATAATATTTCGAAAATATTTTATAAAACAAATGTAATAAAACTATTTTTAGATCAATATCTAATACAACTTGTTGTCAAAATTTATCAATTTGGAACGAAAAAAGTTAAAAATAGTCAAATACACTATTAACTTTTTCTTATAATTTTTCTTTAGATTATCATACAAAACGAAGGGAAGAGAATAACTATTACTTCCTCCGTCACAAAGTTCTACAGAATAGGAGGTGACAAGAATATTTTATTCTATCAAAGAATCAATAAAATCATTTACAAATAAACAAAAGTTATCGGGAGTAGATAGAGAAAAAATTGAAATCAAAATTGGGATGGAGGGAGTATTAATTATTATGGTACCTAAAGTCCAAGGGAGAATTTGAAGGCCAATGGGAAAGGACATTAGGATCACAAACCAGCTTGAGAAAGTCTCGCCAACAAAACACGCCATCCTTTGTTTGGTTAAAGCTCGTCCCGTACCGGACCGGAGCCGACACGTCGGCGCTCATGTACACCTCCCTCTCCGTCACCGGAAGGTCGAAAAACCTCCTAGTCACGTCCCTCATGTCGTTTATGACATCCTCGGCAATACCATGATTCACCAGCTGCATGCGCCGCCGCCCCCATCAAGAAAACATACAAGAACACATACGGTAAATCATTACTGTCGTGTGTTCAAAACCTATACATATATATATACTGTTACCATGGAAATTGTTAGTCGTGTCGTGCCTGAAAAAAGCCGTAATTTTGACAAGCGTCAGCGAGAGAACGAAGGACGTGGGTGCGGTTAGGGCCTCGGAGTTGGTCGAAGTGGATCACGGGAAGCTTGAAATGGCCGTTTGTTTTGCCATTGTTTGTGGTATGATGATGTTTGGGGCGTTCCGGTGAAGGGAAGATAAACCTATTTGGGACAGCCTTTATAAGGTTAGCGTCCCACAAGGCCTTCAATCCTTTCTCGCACAACAAACTCTCATCATCATCTTTCTTCTCCTTCTCGAGTGCAGGTATGGTCATTATTGTCATTTTTGCCATTTTTATTAGTAATAATAATAATAATAAATTAATAATAATAATAAATAATAATTACACACAAATTGTGACTTCAAATAGAGGATATATAGTAATAATACGGAGTAGTATATAATACGGTATGAAGTTGCGAAATAACAGAAGTGGAATGGTCCATGTTATATAGGGAGCTAATTAGGGAGTAATTATATATATATTCCAGCTAGTTTTCACTTTTCTGAGAACTTATCCTACTAAACAAATGACAGTTTTAATTTTCTAAAGTCAAAACTAGATATGTAGGCCCTATTTCTTTTGGCTTGGAAAAAGTAATTCTCAACTCTTTTCAACCCCTTCCAGTTTTTTTTTTTTTTGCAAAAAATTAAAAAAAGTATTTATATATGATGCATATACAATAACATTATATGCCTAAATTTATAATATACGACCTCAAACACGCACAAGGATGGATTCTTTTTATCCAAGATTTGAGTTTTGTTACCTACCTAGTATTTATTTGGGTGATCATTTAATTGAATGACGCTTTAACACTTTAATTCTTCTAATATTTTCCAACTCCTTTTAGTTTTTTCCAACCCATTCCAGTTTTTTTCAGCATCTAACTCTGAAATTCCAACCAAAAGAACAAGAGTATTATTTTGTGTAATTGTGTATGTATAAAATCATGAACATTTTTAGTTTTTTATTAGAGGAAGAAAACTTGATTAGGGAGTATAAAATGGTTTTCTTATATATATATATATATATATATATATATATATATATATATATGTATGTATGTATGTATGTATCTATGTGTCTGTGTCTGTGTGTGTGTGTGTGTAGAGAGTGCGGTAATCTTTTCATCTAGCTAGCTTGTATTGATCTATTTTCATTTCGTTTCCGTTCGAAAACAACTTCAATATTTAAATTTAAGGTTTTGAAAAAAATTAAATACTATCAAAAAATAATCTACATTATTTAAAAAAGAATTATCCAAATTGCTAACACATGTGCTCACATAAGGACTTTCTTGGAACATAATTTCCTTATTTTTTATGGTCAAAACTAATTTCCACAATCAAAGAAAAACTCACCCCTTTATCTTGGATAATGGCGAAAACAATGAAAAAAAAGAGAAAAAAATAACTTATTCCTCTGTCACAAATTTTTTATTAATTAATTTGTCCCCTAAATTAGCTATGGAGAAAATTATAGTTCTACGCTCCTTATCATTGTGCACGAAGTCAGGTAGAATTTCTTGAAATTTTAAATTAATTTCTATCATTAATTAGCTTGTGTCCGATAAATATTTACATGCATTTTAATTCTTGGAAATCCACAGTTTAAAATTTTAAGCATACATAGTCTCTCTCTCTCTCTCTCTCCCAAGATTATCTAATTAATTAGTATGATTTTTTGTCACTTAAATATAAATTTTGACAAAATAGTACTCATATTTAGTTATAATGTAAAATTAATTAATATAACTAGGTTAATTTCAAGATATATTATTTATATATGAAATTTTTAGAATATGTTAGAATATAAATAACTATTCCTAGGCCACAACCACAAGTTTGAGCTTGTGGTTGGGTTGGTTCCTTGATATGGTATCAGAGCCTCGTTGACTAAGAGGTCACGGGTTCGAAACTTAGCGCCACCCAGTTTAAAAAAAATTAAGATTTCACGTGCAAGGCTCGAAAAAGACTACGCCTGCACGTGAGGGGGCGTGTTAGAATATAAATAACTATTCCTAGACCACAACCACAAGCTTGAGCTTGTGGTTGGGTTGGTTCCTTGATAGAATATTTAGTGTAAAAGCTTTAAATTATCTTCTTAAAAGATATTTTCTCAATTAATTCCCAATAAACAATAATTATCTACGTTATAATAAATCATATTGACTTCTTCAGTAGTTCGTCCTCCGTTATACTACCTCCGTCCCGTGAAACATTTCCCCTTTCTTTTTTTATCCGTCCCACAAAACACTTCTCATTTCTATTAAAAAGTCACTTTTACCCCTTACTTTTTCATACCCTAACTATCACATCATACCTTTTTACTAATAATCTATCCATCAAATCATACTTTTACCCATCACATCAAAGGACATTTTTGGAAATTCAATACCAAAATACACTCCCTTAAATCCCTCCTAAAAAGCAAATGTCCCATGTTTTACGTGACGGAGGTAGTATTTATGACTGCTAAGTGGGGGTATTTTGGTATTTCTACTATCTAAATTTAGAATACTTCTTAAAATGCTGTTTTCTAATGAAGTGTGTACCCAAGATGATCATATCCTTTTTAATTAGGTGGTATAGTTAATGGATTGTTATAATTTTACATGGAGTTGTAAATATTTTGAATAATCAACGAATTATGTAAAATCAATTGATTGTTTTAGTCCTCCGTAAAAAAGTTTCAGGAGTTCTAAGTCGCTACTCTGATCTTATCTGCAAACTAGATATACATAATTATATTAATTTATCAGATGAGTAATTACAATACGTCAACAATACAACCTACATATATGCAGAATATATAGCTTGTATTATCCAAAGACGCCACATCTTGTTACCCACTGTTTTAAATTCTTGCATGGACAGAGAATGAGATCAGACAAGTGTTCTTGCAGCTTAATTGTTTACAAATTCAATCAATCTAGGAAAAAATGGGAAACATATACTAAACGTGCGTGCAAGTCTATGGTACGATAATATATTAAGAGAAATTTACCTAATATATTAATGCATGCATGCATGGACAACATAGTGGAGGAGAGGGACATGGTCCGCATCCTGCCGGCACGCGTTCCACATGTCGTGCATCGACATGTGGTTCACGGCGCACGCCAGCTGTCCCGTCTGTCTCGCTCGGGTTGAAGAGCCCGAGGCGGCGACATGCGGGACCCGGATGCAAGACGGCGTCCCCACACTTTTCCGATGTAGGATACTCTTAACTACACTCCCCCTCAAGTGGCGGACATGGGCCAAAACCTGCTCTGATACCATGATAGAATTTAGGATGGGTATGAACAACTAGATTGGATAATACTCCCTCCGTCCCCCTGTATTTGTCCACTTTCATTTTTACACACCATCCAATGCACTTCTTTAATTCATTTTATCTTGTAATTTGTATATTAAAAAATTATAAAAATTATATATTAATAATCTATATGTTAAGACAAATCAAACAAGATCACACATGACTATATTTAGGCTTACACATTGAGAGAATTTGATGAGTCAAATTGCTTAAATGAACAGTTCCAAAAGTCAAATGTGGACAAATACAAGGGGACGGAGGGAGTAAGACACTTGGGGTGAACCACATTAAAAGATTGAATCCAATCGATTAGTTAGTTTAACTCAAGAGCTTATATACCGATTAATTTCCCCACACTTTTCCGATTTGGGATACTCTTAACAAATAATGACGACCAAGATGCTGCAGGCGGTACGGTGGCGGCGGCGGCAGATTCTTCTTCTTCCTCTTCCTTCTCCTCGTCGTGGTTGGCGGCGGTTGAAATGCATTCATGTGGTGGGTTAGTTGATCCGTCACTGCGCGTCGTTATCTATATGGATCTTTCTATCGTTATTAATTGATATGCGGCCGCCGTCGGTGCACGACGAAAGAAGTAGAAGAAGACGATGGACAAAGACGACGGCGAGTCGAGGACACTGCATGTCTATCTTCTTCCGTCACGGAAAGGGTAACGATCGAGGAGTGGATCTATCCATACACAAATTGGATAAATTGGTTTCGTCGAGTTGTTACGTTATACAAATATTTCATCAATGTTGAATCCGGCCTTTTTTTCTTTTATGTATTTTCATTATCAAGCCCCAGCGCTTATATCGATGAGCATATGACTAACGTACTTTCATATCTGACACAAAGAGATCGCTGATGGAACATTTTTTAAAATTTATGGAACACCAGTGTAATTTCTAAAACGACCACATGTTAAAATTATTGCAGATTAACATAATTATTACTACACTTAAGAAAAGAAATGGGAAACGGAAATCTAGGCCCCGGCCCATTGATATTGTGAATAGTAGTTTAAGCGAAAAAGTCAAAGTCATGGCCTTATGATCGATGCCTATTCCTATGCAAGTCTTTGGTCACTAAGTTTTTCCCAAGAGTTTGAATCTGCCAAACAAGAATGAGTCTCACCCCCAAAGTTCCCTCAAACTCGTCGGATGATAACTTAGAATAGATAAATTAGACTTTGATTATATATTGGTGACAAAGAGTAGAATTTGTATCTAGAAATTGCAGATGCCCTATTATGCCATTCTTATGCTTATAGTTATAATTCTAGTATCTTGATAGTTTTTTTTTTTAATTCTTACTCCGTATATTTTTGTTGATCATTTAACAAAACAATATATATACTCCGTATATTCTTGTTACCCTCTTATTTTGTAGAATACTAGATTGAGTTTTCAATATATTATTTAAATTTTTTCATTTTTATGCCAATTTGTAATTAACCAAAAATGGTTTTAAAAAGATAGAACTATTTTATGAGTAAGAGACGAGTAAAAGAACCAAACTACCCGAACCAGATTGATCCTTCAAAAGTCCGATACTATTTGAAATGGGATATGTACAGTGTTTTTTTAAAATTGACCCGGACTAGTTCAGTGTTCGTAAAAAATTAAGGACCTTTTGGAACTAGATAGCAGGGTCGGCCCTGAAAAATGGAAAAATAAAATTGGTCCGGTCCAAAATTTACATTTTGGGCCTTATTTTATTTTTTAGAATACTTTTGCTTTAAAATTATCAACAAATTTAAAAATATGGAGCCCTAAAATTTTAGGGGACCTGTACGGCTGGCCACTTTGCAAATATATATACATACATACATACATACATACATATATATATATATATATATATATATATATATATATATATATATACACACTACCTCCGTCACATTGTCTTTGTCCAGTTTTGACTTTTGCAACTGTTCATCTAAGCACTTTGACTCATCAAATTTTCTCAATGTGTAAGCCTAAAAATAGTCATGTGAGATCTTGTTTGATTCGTCTTAACATATAGATTATTAATATATAATTTTTATAATTTTTTAGTATACAAATTACAAGATAAAATGGATTAAAGAAATGCAT